CGCTAGCGACATTTGAGAAAAGCTTTAGCCGGCCAACCCCATTCATACCATACCCTGTGCCTATGCTAGCGCCATTCTGGAGGATTTTTGAACTGTTATTTAGTGCTGAAAGTGGGACACTTTTTCAAGCTTCTCCCATATGATACGGTTCTCCTTACCTTTAGGTTATATATAATCTTACTCTATGCCTTACCTCTACCCTCCCTAAAACAGTAGTAGCAGTAGATAGTTAAATTTTTCCAACGGGAAAGACACAGGTATCACACCACACGGCCTAATCTTTTGTATATTCTGTTTTATGAAAAATGTTATGGAGCGAAATTAAATGAAGTTGACTGATCCTTATCAAAGTTGTAAAGGAAAGCCGTGTAGTTGTAAAGTAACAACTCGACCGGTCAAGATCTCTCAAATTATCTGAAGTTAGCCTAGCCTTTGTCTCCGGACTACCACAATACGTTAGTCCGCAGAGCACTTTAAGCTGTTTAGGTTTATAGTTAAAGTTCGTCTCACGAAAGAAGTCTCGCAGACGCGGCGCTGCAGTCACGCGACGTAATGTTGACAGCGTTTACTATTGAATTCCCAAAAATCCCCTAGTTAGAAGACGAAGTGCTAGTGGCAGGTAGTAAATAAAATTGAACAATTCGCTATTTTATGTATACATAAAAGAAAGAAAACACAGTAAATAAAATATAACTTTAATTATAATAAAATATAATTTTAATTGTAATAAAATATAATTTTAATTATATACAATAAAATATAATTTTAATTATATTTTAACAACATAATTATGGTCACCCATTGGGTTTATTCCAGACAACAGTCACTGCCTGAATCATAGTCATCCATATTACTTTCGTCATCCGACCCTGTTTCACTATCACTTGCTGTTGATATAATAATCCGGTCCATTTCTTCATCCATCAGCCCATCATTCCTAAAATATTCATCCTCTAAATGCTCCACATGTTTGTACTGAACAAACCAATCTTCTGGAGTCACGCTAGTAAGCGCTTCTTCCTTAAATTTTTTATTTTTTTTTGATCCGGGTCAACATTTTTCTCAGCCACGCGTCCTTTTATAAGACTCTTATTTTTTTTCAATTGGATAAAGATCGCAGTGATACTTATATGGTGAGACTATATGGTGGTAGTCTCAGAATTTCGTGGTTGTAGCTTTTTAAAAGTTCATCTACGGCATAAGTTGGTTGTCCTTTATTTTATTTTATTCAATCAAACAATACGACTTTCGTCCAGGTCAGTTCAAAATTAATATTTTTTTCAAGCAACCACTTTTGCATTTCGCTTTTTAAATTTGCCATTGTTGGCGCTTTGTTTAGCTATGTGCAGTGGTATGGAGCATTGTCCATAACCACAAGTGACTTTCAGGCAAATTTGGGATTACCTTTTCAGTCATCCACTTTAGAAAATTACTGGAGTTCATATCGTCATGATAATCTGATGTCTTTGACTGGGATTTAAAAAAATAATAGAGCATTCTCAACAAAATCATTTTCAGATCCAACAGTTATCCACCTACTCCCAACATACTCGGAAGTGAATAGCCCTAGGTCTTCTGCACTTTGTCAACAACTTTTGGCATGATATGTATTATGGATATAGGTTTCATCCAAGAACACCACGTGTCTTTTCTCTAAGGTTCGGTTTTTTCTCATATTTTCTATGTATCTAGCGCGCCAAGCAGTTATATCGTACCGTTCCATTAATAACATCCTTTTTGACTGGCACCGTTTGTATTTAAAACCAATACTTTGCAGTATTCTATGTAGCGTGGTGCGGCTTTTTTTTATTGCTTAGATGGCTGGACGAGATCACAACTCACCTGGTGTTAAGTGGGTACTTGGGCCCATAGACATCTACAACGTAAATGCGCGACCCATCTTGAGATATAAGTTCTAAGGTCTCAGTATACTTAGTCTGGCCATAAATACTGTTACAATTAAAAATAAACAAAATATTACATTTCAATTTGGAATCTGTCATTTTTATATGATTGCTCATTGAGTTTTTTCATTTTGGCGCCAATACATTGTACAATATTTTGCGATATTAAAATGGAGTGGGGTGATAAAGAGAACCGAATCGCTGTGATTGCATTACACAAAGTAGGTATGGAGCCAAATGCAATTTTTAAAACTCTCCATACGCTTGGTATTAGTAAAATGTTTGTGTACCGGGCTATTAACAGGTGCAATGAGACCCCTCTGTTTGTGACAGAAAAAGATCTGGCCGTCCACGTAGTGTTCGTACGAAAAAGGTTGTCAAAGCAGTAAGGGAAAGAATTCGAAGAAATCCTATCCGAAAGCAAAAGATTTTATCTCGGGAGATGAAGATAGCACCTAGAACCATGTCGCGTATTTTAAAATATGACTTAGAACTTGCAGCCTATAAGAGACGTACTGGTTATTTCTTAACTGATAATTTAAAAGAGAATAGGGTGGTAAAATCGAAGCAACTACTGAAGCGGTACGCAAAGGGAGGTCATAGAAAAATTTTGTATACGGATGAGAAATTTTTTACAATTGAGCAACATTTTAACAAACAAAATGACCGTATTTATGCTCAAAGCTTTAAGGAAGCTTCCCAATTAGTCGACAGAGTACAATGTGGGCACTATCCGACTTCAGTGATGGTTTGGTGGAGTATTATCTATGAAGGAGTGACTGAGCCATACTTTTGTGAAAAAGGTATCAAAACATCGGCACAAGTGTATCAAGATACCATTCTTGAGAAGGTAGTGAAGCCCCTTAACAACACCGTGTTCAATAATCAAGAATGGTCCTTCCAGCAAGACTCGGCGCCAGGTCATAAAGCTCGGTCTACGCAGTCTTGGTTGGAAACGAACGTTTCGGACTTCATCAAAGCTGAAGACTGGCCGTCGTCTAGTCCCGATCTTAATCCGCTGGATTATGATTTATGGTCAGTTTTAGAGAGTACGGCTTGCTCTAAACGTCATTATAATTTGGAGTCCCTAAAACAATCCGCTTACGCTATTTATACTTTAAATTGTTTTTTGTATTTATGTATTAAACTAACACACTGTAAAGTAATAAATTTTATTTGCAATAGTTTTTTTTTTCCTTTACCTCAGTATTTATGGCAAGACTAGGTATATATAAAATGAATTGCTGTTCGTTAGTCTTGCTAAAACTCGAGAACGGCTGGACCCATTTGGCTAATTTTGATGATCTTGAATTATTTGTGGAAGTCCAGAGAAGGTTTAAAAGGTAGATGAATATGAAAATGTTCGGAATTAAATAAAAATAACAATGTTGTTTTTTCTTTGATGTGTCCCCCGTCGAACGGATTTCTTTTGTTTGTGTTAAGTTTATTTTACACAAAAGTTTAGGTCTTTTATTTATCGATTGAGGCACAACGAAGTCTGCCGGGTCAGCTAGTCTAATGTATTAAAACCTATGATTTGGATATATTTTTTTTATTTTTTTTTATTGCTTAGATGTTTGGACGAGCTCACAGCCCACCTGGTGTTAAGTGGTTACTGGAGCCCATAGACATCTACAACGTAAATGCGCCACCCACCTTGAGATATAAGTTCTAAGGTCTCAGTATAGTTACAACGGCTACCCCACCCTTCAAACCGAAACGCATTACTGCTTCACGGCAGAAATAGGCAGGGCGGTGGTACCTACCCGTGCGGACTCACAATAGGTCCTACCACCAGTGATTACGCAAATTATAATTTTGCGGGTTTGATTTTTATTACACGATGTTATTCCTTCACCGTGGAAGTCAATCGTGAACATTTGTTAAGTACGTATTTCATTCGAAAAATTGGTACCCGCCCGCGGGATTCGAACACCGGTGCATCGCAACAACGAATGCACCGGACGTCTTATCCTTAAGGCCACGACGACTTCAAATTATATGATGTATATCTTAGACGTTGTGCACGTTCATCGTGTCGCGGTCATGAATTGTGTCTTCGAAGGCAATAAAAATAACATGCAAACCAAAGCAAAACTGACGAATAAGAAAACCAAGTAGACCGTATTGGACTAGGTATAACTTCAGTGCATCATGCGCGATTATGTAGTTAAATAATGGATCCTTTAATTTTAATATTGTTTTTTAATTTACTTGAGTTAATGATCGGAAGTTACAGGAGTGCTGAGCGAATAAGCGTCGTCCTGTTTTGTGATTAGCGTGAGTTTGTGGTTTTTGCGTTTATTTTGAAAGTTACGCCACTGACTTCAAAACGTCGGGGTACATATACGTGCTACAGACCGCTTCAATATCTGATGAACCGTGCAGGGAACATTCGAGTTTTGCTACGCCCTCATTTTTTGATAGGTATTCATGATCAGTATCAAATAGCAGCGGCTCGGCTCTGCCCCTGGCATTGCTGAAGTCCATGGGCGATGGTAACCACCATCAGGTGGGCCGTACGCTCGCCTACCTTCTAGAAAAAAAAAAGTCAATGCAATGCATGATTCAGGTCCTAGTCAGGTGCTAATAGGTACGTTTCTTCGTTGATTACGTATGTAGCTTACTCGTGTTGCGGACAAGAAGTCTGGGAAGGATTACCGCCGCTATGACTAAAGGCGAAGCACGCGATTTTGCCACCAATTGGAGGGGTATGTCGTACCCTCTTCGCCGTCTTGCCCTCTTCGCTTAAAGACCAGACCTCTCATTGCTAACCATTTGTGCCTAAGATGCTCGACCTTTGCAAGTATAGTATCTCAGGTAACAAGGCAGTGGAATGTCAACAGAATGGCTTAAAATACAGCCACAGCTAAGTTTCACCTATTATTTGAATTGTTTTTCGCATATTATTCTGATAAGAAAATTTGAAACCTAAGGGACAGTACTAAAGTGTATTTATGTTTGAATTTCATTATGTGATTGATTTGATTTATCTAACAGATGATATCTTTATCTGATAATTAGCTTATTTAATTATTATCATTTACTGTAATGTATAAAAGGTGTGCAAAAATTACTTTCTACAGATTACTAACAATGAAGTGGTTGTTAGGATTGTTTCTCTGTATCTGTGCTACCCAGGCGACTGTTCGCCGATCCCCTCATGCGGATTACGTCGAGGAACTATACAGGCTGGACGCTCAGGGTTCCCGTTACTCTACCAATGTAACTGAAGATGCTCTTCTGGATATTGTGAGTACTCTACTTTTGTTCTTAATTCCGCTGCTGATTTGTTAATTCTCCCTATTGTCACATATAATTAATCCAATTAAATTAATAATCCATTTAATCCCGCTTGTGTTTTCAAATGTTTGTATTTCAAAATTCCAAGCTTCTTAATCCTTTGACTGCCACGTAGGTCACCGACCCCCCTTCCCCCCCCCGGCGCACTGAAGTAATTATGTCAATTTCTGTCACTAAGCGCCAGCATTACCTAACTTTAGGATGTTTATTTTATATTTAATGTATGTTTTGGTATTTTAGGTCCCTCAGAAATAGATTCATTGTAAGTATCTTCGCATTGGTCTTTCCCAAAATCTAATTCGAATCGAGATAATTACTTCATTGAGCCACGTAGGGCACCGGTAACCTACACGACAGTCAAAGGATTAAGCTCATTGTAACCGAAAATGTATAAAAAAGCATATTCCAAGACCCCAAGGCACGATTTATTTTAAAAGCCATGGATATTAAAACAGAGAAGATAAGAACAAGTTCACTTTCTTGAGTACACGTTCAGTTCTTACTATACAGAACAATAATAAGTACACATTCCTAATAACAAATATCTTTTTACAAAAATGACTCCGACGAGGATCTAAGCCCGGAGCACGTGGGTAACAGCTGCCCTCTGGGCCAACGTGGTGGTCAAAACGAATAAAAAGCTAGTAATATTGATAATTTTTAAGGTTGGACTTATCACGAAATATGGATATCCAGTTGAAGTTCACAAGGTCGTTACTGAAGATGGCTATATCTTAGAAATGCAAAGAATTCCTCATGGACGTGACCAGAACAACCGACCCGACCCTAGGAAACCAGCTGTTTTGGTTATGCATGGACTTTTTGCTTCTGCTGCTGACTGGGTTCTGATGGGTCCAGGTCTTGGCTTAGGTAAATCAGAATCTTAAGCAAAAATTAAAACATTCTTTACTTATTTATTTTAATATAATTACTGCAACTACTAACATAATATTATAGATGGATATTTTAAGAAAAATATTTCCTAACGCTTCGCATTTGTACTATTAACGTAAAGTCCTTTAATAAAATGCTAATATATAAAAATCAATAACATTTACAGCATACATTTTGGCTGAAGCTGGTTATGATGTGTGGCTTGGAAACGCACGTGGTACATATTACTCCAGAGCTCACACTAAATTAGACCCGGACAATGACTCAGAGTTTTGGAAATTCAGTTGGGAAGAAATAGGTACCCGAGATCTGCCTGCTATGATTGATTACACTTTGAAAGTTGCTGGAAAAAGACGACTTCATTATATTGGTCACTCACAAGGAACTACTGTCTTTTGGGCTATGGGATCTTTGAGACCTGAATACAACAGCAAAATTATTGCTATGCAAGCTTATGCTCCTGTAGCTTACTTAGAATTTAATGCAAACAGATTACTTAAACTTATTGCTCCACATGCCAACAGTATTGAGGTTTGTAACGTTGATTTTAGTGAAAATATTGTTTTAGTTTGAGAATCTTGAGTTGATATAATATGTTTTCATTCAGGCACTTACAAGTCTCATTGGAATAAATGAGCTATTCGGCAGATCTGACTTCTTTACGAACGTGGGAATGAGATTTTGCGCTGATGGCGTATTTTTCCAGGCGATGTGCACAAATATGTTATTCGCTTTTGCTGGACGCAGTGAAGACATGCACAATGCGGTAAGTGTAATAGTACCTATAAAGATACTTATGTCCACCATATTTTCGGTTTAATGCACTCCCTCTACCTATATAACTAGTCAGGTCATAAGTATTGTCACACAGTAAAAACTTTTCTTTTAGAATGCTGGCCACAAAAAAGTTTATTGAATTCGAATTTCGAATTGTTCATGAAAATAAAAATGTATACTTTTAGAATTTTACTCATTTTTAAATATGGAGTGGACGCTTAAAGAAGACCGTGTTGCAGTTATTGCGTTGTATCGTTGCGGTTACGCGCCAATTCAAATTTTTAACATACTGAAAAATTTGAATATAACCAAAAGATTCGTTTATCGTACCATCAAACGATACAATGAAGACTCTAGTGTAGATGACAGGTCAAGAAGTGGTCGCCCTCGGTCTGTTAGGACTCCAGCAGTGATAAAAGCTGTGAAGGCGCGAATTCAAAGAAATCCCAAACGTAAGCAGAAACTGTTGGCCCTTCAGATGGGGTTAAGCAGAACCACGGTGAAAAGGGTGTTAAATGAAGACTTAGGGCTTCGGGCATATCGAAGAAAAACAGGACATCGTTTGAATGCTCGTCTAATGGACCTGAGACTGAAGAGATGCCGCGCTTTGTTGAAGCGGTACGCGGGAAAAAAATATCGGGAAATTCTTTTTTCGGATGAAAAAATTTTTACCGTAGAAGAGAGCTACAACAAACAAAATGATAAGGTGTACGCACACAGTAGTGAAGAAGCGAGCAACCGTATTCCGCGTGTCCAACGAGGTCATTTTCCATCCTCGCTCATGGTATGGTTGGGAGTTTCTTATTGGGGCTTAACAGAGGTACATTTTTGTGAGAAAGGTGTAAAAACGAATGCAGTTGTGTATCAAAATACAGTCCTGACGAACCTTGTGGAACCTGTTTCTCATACCATGTTCAATAACAGGCACTGGGTATTCCAACAAGATTCGGCGCCAGCTCATAGAGCGAAGAGCACACAAGACTGGCTGGCGGCGCGTGAAATCGACTTCATCCGGCACGAAGACTGGCCCTCCTCCAGTCCAGATTTGAATCCGTTAGATTACAAGATATGGCAACACTTGGAGGAAAAGGCGTGCTCAAAGCCTCATCCCAATTTGGAGTCACTCAAGACATCCTTGATTAAGGCAGCCGCCGATATTGACATGGACCTCGTTCGTGCTGCGATAGACGACTGGCCGCGCAGATTGAAGGCCTGTATTCAAAATCACGGAGGTCATTTTGAATAAACTTTAGTGTTATAAGAATCTATGTTTTGTTAAGTTCATTTTGGTATATGAATGGTTACATAATGAATAAACTTGTTTCAATTATTTTACATTAAACATGTGACAGAATTTATGACCTGACTAGGTATATATAAATGAATTGCTGTTCGTTAGTCTCACTAAAACTCGAGAACGGCTGGACCGATTTGGCTAATTTTGGTCTTGAATTATTTGTAGAAGTCCAGAGAAGGTTTAAAAGGTAGATAAATATGAAAATGCTCGGAATTAAATAAAAATAACAATTTTGTTTTTCCTTTGATGTGTCCCCCATCGGACGGATCCTTTTGTTTGTTTTAAGTTTATTTTATACAAAAGTTTAGGTCTTTTATATATAGATTGAGGTACTACGAAGTCTGCCGGGTCAGCTAGTCACTATATAAAAATGAATGATGGAACCTTACAAGTGCTTACTATCGACTCCCGCGATGAAGCAATAACATCTTATAATATATATATATATATATATTTTTATTGCCTTTGTAGGCAGACGAGCATACGGTCCATCTGATGGTGAGTGGTTACCGTCGCCCATGGACTTCAGCAATGCCAGGGGCAGAGCCAAGCCGCTGCCTACCACTTAATACTCTCCACAAGCCTCGTTTGAAGAAGGACATGTCATAACTCGGGAAACACCGTGGAGGGGAGCTCATTCCATAGCCGGATGGTACGTGGCAAAAAAGACCTCTGGAAACTCACTGTGGATGACCGCAGTGGCTCCAGGAAGTATGGATGAACTCTACTCCGGTGGCGGGCGGTGCGATGGTAAAAACGAGATGCCGGTATCATCTCGAACAATTCCTCAGAGCACTCCCCATGGAACATACGGTACAAAATACAGTGGGAACCGCAGTCCCTCCGCAGATCCAGAAGTTCCAAACGATCCGTGAGAATGGGATTATCGACAATCCGATCGGCTCTTTTCTGTATGGAGTCAAATGGAAGAAGCTGGCATTTGGAAGCCCCGGCCCAGAGATGGGAGCAGTACTCCACGCGAGGCCGGACTTGTGCTTTACAAAGCAAAAGACTTTGACCAGATGTGAAGTACCGCTTCGCTCTGTTGAGGACTCCCAGCATTTTGGACGCCAACTTGGCTTTGCCTTCCAAATGACTCCGAAACTGGACATCGCTCGAAATGTTGACCTCAAGTATCCCAATACTCTCGGAAGGTTGCAGGGATACTCCTTGGAATTGCGGCGCCATGACAAAGGGGTCCTTCTTCGCAGTGAACGCGCAAACTTGTGTCTTTATCGGGTTGAATTGAACCAAGTTCAATTCACCCCATTCGGAGACTCGCCCCAGAGAGCTCTCCACTTCAGACACAAGTTTTGATCGTCTCTCTTGCACCACGCTCCGAGAGAGACTCTGATGGCCGATATATCGCGCATCTCCCGTGCTGTCATCCGCATAGCAATGCATGTCATCAATAGACAGCATGTCATTGATATGCAGGATGAAAATCGTGGGGGAGAGCACCGATCCTTGTAGAACGCCAGCGTTAATGGTCATGGTATCAGAACAGTCACCGTCTACAACGACCACTTGCAGAGACCCTCGGGGATTCCGTAAGATAAGATGGTAGCTTCGATAGTAGTGCCCTATGCCAGACCCTGACGAAGGCCTTCGCGATATCAAGGCTCACAGCAAGAGCCTCGCCCTTGCTCTCCAAGGCTTCAGCCCACCTGTGAGTAAGGTATACAAGAAGATCGCCAGCTGAGCGACCGTGACGGAAACCGTACTGTCAGTCACTGATCAGCTGGCGATCTTCAAGGTACTTCAGGAGTTGTGTATTTATTATTCGCTCCATCACCTTGGAAATCAAGGAAGTTATCGCGATAGGCCTTTAGCTCGATGGATCCGACCGGTCACCCTTCTTGGTGGACGTGGGCGGTCTTCCATGCAGACGGAACCCTGTTAGTGCAATAAGAGAGGCGATACAAACGGGTTAGCGCAGGTGTCAGCTCAGGGGCGCACGTTTTCAGAACCAAAGAGATGTTGAACGCCGATTATGCATGAGTGAAATGCTGCTAGCTAGGCACAAAAAAAAAGTTTTTTAAGTCGAATCGTCACTGGTGATGAAAAGTGGATACATTATGATAATCCAAAAAGAAGAAAATCATGGGGACTACCTGGCCACGAGTCAACATCCACAGCAAAACCGAATATTCATGGAAAAAAAACTCATGCTGTGTATTTGGTGGGACCAGCTGGGTGTGGTGTATAACGAGTTGCTTAATCCAGGCGAAACAATCACTGGAGCTCTCTACCGAATGTAATTGATTGAGTCGAGCTTTGAAGGAAAAACGCCCTTAATACTAATCCAGACATGACAAAATTATTCTGCTCCATGATAATGCTCGTCCGCATGTAGCGGTACCGGTGAAAAATTATTCAAAAACACTTAATTGGGAAGTACTACCTCACCCGCCGTAGTCACCAGACATTGTGCCGTCTGACTATCATCTGTTCCGGTCAATGGCACATGCTCTGTCGGAGCAGCGGTTTACATCATATGAAGATACCAAAAATTAGGTTGATTCGTGGATAGCCTCAAAAGACGACGAGTTCTTCAGACGTGGAATCCGAACTCTGCCTGAGAGATGGGGAAAAGTAGTTGCTAGTGATGGACAATACTTCGATTAAATTTAAATTACCGTTCTTAATAAATATTATTTTTTCGACAAAAAACGACGAAAACTTATTTGTACACCTAATATATTATATACATATATATATATTTTTTAAATTTATAATTAAAATATTGGACGCTACTCTTTAGTCGTTGTCATAGAGTAAGATTATGTATAAGTCGTTGTTAACGCTCGCGCTGGCCTGTAACAGGTAAGCGCATGCGTTCGAGTGCCACGCATTCACTCTCGCTCTGTCTCTTTCTAGTATGGTAGCGGTAAACGTTTAACACAACCTTGTTGGAAGTCGCATTAAATGGTTCACTTCAAAACCACCTCAATGATTTTTGAACGATTCTTGATATATTGGTGCTACCATAGAAAAAATTAAGCAGTAGGAATTAAGTGTCTTATCTATGATTAGGAACATGGTGTCTGTCATGGCGTCCAACGTGTTGATGCACTGTTGGAAAAACAATAGAGTGATATTCAAATGTATAGTTTCTCGTACAGTTGAGCGTTGTTTAAATTAGGATAAATGTAAGTGATCGTGAGCCTGGTTTTAATAGTGGTATTTTTCAATTTAAAAACTATAATTTCTTGATCAGGAGAAAAAAACGAAACGCGAAGTTTTACATAAGTATTTGTGTATTTTGTTTGAAGTATTTTCATAGTCATTTTTTGATGTGAAACATCTATAGCCGCACGTAAAACCGATTTCTGGCGTGGCGACGCGTCGCCACGCTATATCATGGTATATATATACAGTCTATATGCAGTAGTGTGTACGGTGGGTGACGCGTCTCCATGCGCAATCGACTGTGCGATTCTCTCCCACTCGATCCGGCGTTAAGCCATCTCTCTCGCTACACTGACGGCCTGGCCACGGGGATCGGCGGTGCGAACAGCGAAGCGGTGGGCGAGGCGACCATTCGCGCAGCACCGTTTGCAGGCCACGGGTACTCACGTTCGCCGCCGCGACTAGTAAGGAAGTCCGACAGCGAAATGTCTATATCGAAATTATCTCGATATTGCTTACAAATTAATAGTTTTTTGGTTCAGGACCTATTATTTGGAAAAGATTGTGAAGTACATGATTTGAATAAGAATCGGAGTATACCTATAGATGGAGAATTCCACAAGAAGTACGAGAAATACTTTGGGTGGCTAGACTTCCAAATAGCTGGTCTAGCTAGTATTTCAGCTATTTTATTTTTTTATTGCTTAGATGGGTGGACGAGCTCACAGCCCACCTTGTGTTAAGTGGTTACTGGAGCCCATAGACATCCACAACGTAAATGCGCCACCCACCTTGAGATATAAGTTCTAAGGTCTCAAGTATAGTTATAATGGCTGCCTCACCCTTCAAACCGAAACGCATTACTACTTCACGGCAGAAATAGGCAGGGTGGTAGTACCCACCCGTGTAGACTCACAAGAGGTCCTACCACCAGTAATTACGCAAATTATTATTTTGAAGATTTCATTTTTATCACACGATGTTATTCCTTCACCGTGGAAATCAATCGTGAACGTTGAGTGTTGTTGAGTACGTATTTCATTACAAAAATTGGTACCCGCCTGATATTCGAACACCGGTGCATCGCTCAACACGATTGCACCGGACGTCCGTTAGGCCACGACGACTTTAAAAATATAAAATAAAAAATAAATAAAAAATATAAAAATTTCGGCGTTAATTTTTCGCGGCGAAAACAACTAAACTCATTTAATCACTGCACTATTCGCCGCGACTACCGCTCGACTCCGTGGCTCGCGCCGTCCGTATTCATGCATTTGTTTTGCTCGCCCGCCGCATCGCGCGATTCGCTCGGTACATTTCGCCGGTCGCTTCGCCGGTCGCCGGTGCGCGTGGCTTGTTAGGTACATTTCTATGCACCGCGCGAATATTCGCATCGGCGAATGTCCCGTGGCCAGGCTGTGAGCTCGCATACCTATAGTATATACTCCGTAGTGTATACAGTGTTGTTTACTACAGTACACATAACCTGTGTTTTACTTGAAAACAAATTATTTTTTTGTAATATTTTATTTTATCATTATGACATATTTAGTTCCTATCACAATCTGTTCTTTTCTGCATATTACTTTTACAATATAATGTCGTTGTTTCATATCAGCCAGGCGTCCCGTGACGGCTCACATTTTTTTTTTCTAATTTACAGACTATGTTGCCTGTGAAACTAGGACATACACCCGCAGGCATTGCTGTCAGGCAGATAGCGCATTACGGTCAACTCATCAACAACAATTTCTTCAGACGATATGATCACGGACGTTTGAAAAATTGGAGGGTTTACAGAAGTTTCACACCGCCAAGATATGACCTGTCTCTTATAACCGCCCCTGTATTTCTACACTACGTTGACGACGACATCTTTGCTGATGTAAGGGATGTCAGAAAACTACAGATCGAATTGGGTCGTCCAGTTGGAATGTTCAGAGTACCACATGCAACTTTCAGTCATCTTGATTTCATGTGGGGATCAGGTGCCAAGGAATTACTATATGACAGAACGATTCAAATAATGAGATCACTAGGGGACGAATAAAAACTATTATAATTGGCAACTACGGACTGCTATTTTGTTGAATAAATTTATTGTCTCATTGCCATTTGTCTATTAATTACTTAAACCTTATTACCTATTAGGTATAAGTTATTTTATTTACGTATCGATCCTCCACCTCAAGTCGTATTGCGTCACGGGGCCTTTACCCTCGGCGAACGCAAGCTTATGTGTTGTACTCGTAACTGTGAAAACTTTTATTTGGCTCACTATAGAATTTAAAAAATATATTTTAGATTTCTAAAGGAGAGTCCAAATTAGTTCATTGCTTAGATTTTTTTGTTCTTAGTCACAAGTCTCAAGAAAACTATAAGATCGTTAAATACTTTGTTGAGTAATAACATCGTTATTTGTATATTCATCTATCAACTTCTAGTAGGATATAGTAAAATTCGAAAGTGTCCCTGGATAATGACGATGGTGTGCCATCCATTTTTTTTTTTATTGATGCACAAAACAAATTACAACCAAAGAAGTTATAAGTTTAAATGTTTAACATAACAATCTGGATTGCAATTCAAAACAGGTGCATACAGAAAAAATTTTACAACTGAACAGATACCTAAATACCATGTATACTTAAACACCATAGAGTATACCCTTAATATAATACTCACATACGCTCACACTCACACACACACACACAACTGCACGCACACACACTCACACACATATGTAAGTTACTATCTGATTAATGTATCTAATGATCTAATGTATTATTAACTGGACAATATTAATTATTTGAGAATATGTTTAACTAATTTACAATATTTATAAAAATTATTCTCAAATATATCAAGATCAGTGTTGCCACTTGCCAACTCATTATAATGTCGTGCCATTCTAACAATGGGATTAAAGTATGAGATATTATTTTTGTGAACTTTAAGTGCAAACAGATTAGTGCAATGTGATCTACGTGCAGTACATCTGGTATTAAAAGATATTTGCGAAATTAAATCGCTTGAATTTATTATATAATGTATGATTTTGTACAAATTGACTAAGTCAAAGTATTTACGACGAAGAGATAAAGATTCAATTTTGAATTGGGTTAGTCTATATTCATAATTAAGATTATTTCGACCTGGTTTCAAACGGTAAGCTAATATCCTGAGACATTTTTTCTGCACTCTTTCAATATCATCTATATGAACTTTATAATACGGAGACCATATTGGTGTAGCATATTCTAAGAGACTTCTCACAAGTGAAAAAAATAAGTATAATACCGAATGAGGATTCTTGAAGTCTTTGCTTGATCTGAGAACGAAACCTAAAAGTTGATTAGCTTTAGAAGTTATATATTGGTAATGTGAACGGAATGAAAGTTTCTCATCAAAGATAATACCTAAATCTATAGCGACAACGGACCTATTTAAGACACTATTGTTCAAAAAATAATTATTAATGATTCTATTTCGTTTATTTGTAAATGAATTAACAAAACATTTGCTACTATTTAAAAATAATAATCCATTACAGTCGTCATACATAATTACACTTAGATCACAAGTAGGTCGCCATAAATAATATATAATTTAATATGTAATTCAACATTTGAACTATCTAACGTGACAGTTGTATGTTTCACATTCAATTAATAGGTATAATTTATGGAGGTTAGAAGTAGGGAGCATCATGTCATCTCAGTGTATTAAAAAGTGTCCGCCAATCGAAAGGGAGCCAATTAAAATGGTAGCAACAGAACTCTTTAAAAAAAAACACGTGTGGCACTGAACTGCCGCGGTAAAGCTATTGCATAGCATTTTTTATCAACTTATGCAGTTATAATTAGACAATAATAATATATTATTAAAACATTAATAAAATAAGACTACGCTACCTATATTTATAAACATTAATAAAAGCAAAACAAAACATATTGCGCCGACCCCAGGTGACTGGGAGAAGGGCAGGATAATGATGAATAAAAGCAAAACGTTAACTGTCCCCTTCACACTCATAAGCTAGACCGGCGAGAGAGAGAGATGGGCAGACTTTTCATGATGCGCATGCAGTGCGACGCACGCCGCGCGCTTATTCACAAACACTACACAAGCGCAACGTGTGAATGTGTTGAATGCGAGCTACATGGTAGGCGGAGTGGGGGGTGTTAGGTTTTATTTTCGTTACAGAATTTCTTGATTCGGTAGCCGCGCTCAAAGCCCGCGATAAAAGCTATGCAATAGCTTAAAAACAGCGTCATAAACACCACACGCCGCATTTCACTTTAATCCAGCACACTTCACTCTGTTTAAAACTGCTATATCATATCATTTTCACATCCTACACTGGCGCTATTATAATAGCTTACTGTTCACGGTTTTTTTTTTTTTTTTTTCTTACTTAAGCTGATAGCCTTAGGGGCTATTTCAGCGTAACCGTGGCTAGTAGGTGAGCTCACGGGGCTCAAACCTGATGATGATGCTAACACGAACCCTAGCAAGAGCCGTGCTTCACAGAATCTACCACCGGATCGGAAACGCGACCCACTGAGAAGATCCGGCGAGAAACTCTGTGGGGTAACTGTTTACGGGTGGACACCACTGAAGTATGAACCCTATGGAAATGAAACGTCAACAAAAAATTCGTGCCACTGTGATGTCATCTGGCCACAAAACATGGCGGTTTTAGTCCTGCCCAGAAGATTTTAATGTTACTAGGTTTTATCGATAAACGTTCTTGGCTCATTTTATTTTAAATATTGTTGAGTATGAATTATTTGTAGAATTTATACTTTAAAAGGAAGTAAGTATATTATTATGTGCAAAGATGATGTGATTTAGATATTATGTGAAATCTAAGACGAGTTCGTGCTTCAAATTTGCCAAGTAAACGATATGACGATTTTTCAAATTTGCTACACTGAATTTATAAAGTTGTCGTTTGCCGCAAAACATAAAGATATGGCATAGTACATTGCCATCGGCCCATTTCTAGCATGCTAAATGTTATCGTATTTCGAGTACGTGTTTTTCTTAGACTATTACAATCTATTTTAATTGTTTTGCTGACTCTAAAGTCCGTAACACACTACCGCAGCGCACCTCAAGGAAGGTGCGCCGCACCGTTTGAATCACTCTCGCTTGAGAGTGATTCAAATTTTAAGCTTATCAAGGGACCGTGTGATAAAAAAAAACACCTACAGAACATTTATTAATTAATTACAAACGCCATTCCTTGTGACTTCCTCTCTAAAATCACTTAATTATTAAATATTTAACGAATTTACAATAGTGTTTTACTCACTGCGGAATATAACTATTTTATTTACATAGTTCCGAAGAGATTTTGTTGGTAGCCTTTTTCCCGAAATATCTAATCAGAATGTCTATTTAAGTTTTGATGGCATATTTTAAAGAGGTACTTATGATTAGTGTCGTGATCAATAGATTCCGACCGAAAAATGGTGTCCGATGGCTCCATAATGAATTTAAATATATATAGATAATAGTTTTGGGGCATCGACTTTCTTGAGATCTTATAAAATATGTTTTAATTATTATTTTTGTATGTTTTAAGCATGATAAAATAAGAAATTTTATATAAGCAATCATATTAAATCGATATCATAGTCAATAAATAATGTACAACCCAAAACAGACGGCCGAAATGCCGAAATGACGTGACAATGACATTTGGTGCGCTCAACATGGCGGATTTTCGGCCTCATTAGACATTTACGTATATTCATGTTTCATTTTATGTACGCACTGAAATCAATGAAGTAGGAAACCTATGGAAATGAAACGTCAACCAAAATTTCGTGCCACTGTGACGTCATCTGGCCACAAAACATGGCGGCTTTAGTGCTGTACAAAAGATTTCAATGTTATCAGGTTTTATCGATAAACGTTCTTGGCTCATTTTATTTTAAATATTGTTGAGTATTATTTATTTGTAGAATTTATACTTTAATGGGAAGTAAGTAGGTATATTGTTATGTGCAAATATGATATGATTTAGATGGGTGAAATCTAAGACAAGTTCGTCCTTCGAATTTGCCAAGTAAACGATATGATGATTTTTAAAAGTTGCTACACTGATTTTATAAAGTTGTCGTTTGTCGCAAAACATAAAGATATGGCGTAGTTCAAAGCCATCAGCCCATTTCTAGCATGCTAAATGTTATCGTATTTTGAGTACGTGTTTTTCTTAGACTATTACAATCTATTTTAATTGTTTTGCTGACTCTAAAGTCCGTAACATACTACCGCAGCGCACCCCAAGGAAGGTGCGCCGCACCATTTGAATCACTTTCGCTTGAGAGTGATTCAAATTTTAAACTTATCAAGGGACCGCGTGAAAAAAAAAACACCTACAGAACATTTATTCATTAATTACAAACGTCATTCCTTGTGACTTCCTCTCTAAAATCACTTAATTATTAAATATTTAACAAATTTACAATAGTGTTTTACTCACTGCGGAATAAAACTATTTTATTTAAATAGTTCCGAAGAGATTTTGTCGGTAGCCTTTTTCCCGAAATATCTAAACAGAATGTCTAAATATGTTTTGATGACATATTTTAAAGTGGTATTTATGATTAGTGTCATGATCAATAGATTCCGACCGAAAAATGGATTTTTCGGATGAGGGCTCCATAATGAATTTAAATACATATAGATAATAGTTTTAGGGCATCGACTTTCTTGAGATCCTATAAAATACGTTTTAATTATTATTTTTGTATGTTTTAAGCATGATAAATTATGAAATTTTATATAATCAATCATATTAAATCGATATCAAAGTCAATAAATAATGTACAACCCAAAACAGACGGCCGAACTGACGTGACAATGACATTTGGCGCGCTAAACATGGCGGATTTTCGGCCTCATTAGACGGAGACGGAGATATTTACGTATATTCATGTTTCATTTTATGTACGCACTGAAATACTGTTATATTGTTTTCCTGCGAGTTAAAGTGCTGAGTAAGAACGAGATAGATATATGTTTATGTATGTGCCTTCAAAATGGGTGCTATTTATATAAGCAATTGTACGTATAGAACAATATGTCGTGTCTCTACTATATAGGTCTATGACTGAAATACTGTTATATTGTTTTCCTGCGAGTTAAAGTGCTGAGTAAGAGCGAGATAGATATATGTTTATGTGTGTGCCTTCAAAATGGGTGCTATTTATATAAGCAATTGTACATAAAGAACAATATGTCGTGTCCCTACTATTATTTTTTTTAAGAGATTTTATGACCTGGTACTGAGATCTTTAAGTCGTGTCTTAATTTAATGTATATTCTTAATTTTATGAAAAATGATGTTATGGAGTGAAATGAAATGAAAATGATTAATTTGAGACATTAATCAACTGGGATGAAATTTAATGAGATGATATGAGATGAAATCTAATCTCAGTAAAATGGTGGTCATTTACTAAGATTTTTTCAGTGGACTTTTTGGAGGATCCCGAGAAGTTACGTCCAGCGGCTTTGTTTCATTTTCCCACATTTGTGCATTTTCACAGATATTAAACGGTTAATAAACCACCATTATTACACATTTAAACCCGAAGAAACACTAAATAGACAAAATAAAACAAATCACACAACTTCACTCCACGCGTTCCCGCCAAAAAGTCCGTGTCCCTACTATATAGGTCTATGGCATAGACTCTATGGTGGACAGTTTTTCAACTTGTTCCTTACACAAGATGGTGCTCCTTACCTCTACCCTCCAATAGTAGTAGCAGTACTTAGATTTTTCCAATTGAAAAGGCGCAGGTATCATACGGCCTAATCTTTTGTATAATTAACCTTTCTGCAGCTGAGGTGTCAAATGACATTTGGGTTATTCTGTTTTATGAAAAACGTTATGGAGCGAAATGAAATGAAGTTGACTGATCCTTAACAAAGGAAAATCGTATGATTGTAAAGTAACAACTTGACCGGTCAAGATCCCTCGAATTATCCGAAGTTAACCTTTTTTTTTTTCGGGTAGAGGGCCGATCCGAAGTTAACCTAGTCTTTATCTCCAGGCTGGTGGCGCCGCGTGTCAGGTTGTAGAGTTGACCGCGGGAACCCCCTTACTCTGACCGCATTCTGACCCCGGACGGAGATCGGACGTCGGGTGTAAGAGTGCAGAGGAGTCGTTTAGTGCGGTAGGGCCCTAAAATTCCTTGGGCCCGCGGTCTGCTCTTAACAACTGCAGATCATCAAGTCCTACATACCCCGAGCGCCTACTAGGCGTGGAGACCTCGTAGGAGGTTCGGCCGCCGGAATAAAAAAAAAAAATCTTCAGGCTATCTCTAGCGGATATATTTCGTTATGTTGACCTCAAGGATCCTGATACCTCTAGGAGGATACCTGAAATGAATGGCACCGCGAAAAACGGACAGATTGTGACTTCATAGCGTTGAATTGAACAAGATTCATCCGACTCATTTGTAGACCCGCACCAGAGCTCTCCGCTGTAGGCACAAATTTTGATTGTCTTTTTTCAACCATTTTTTAAGGTAGACCACAGCGGTTGAATATTGTTATCGCAGCTGTATAAGCTCGTTGAGGTCAACATCATAGGTCAGGGTGAATGGTGATATTTTCACTGTGATATTTAAGGTCAATGGGCTATACCCTGGGCCAGGAAGGTCAAGTACCTGGGCGTTACCCTGGATGCATCGATGACATTCCGCCCGCATATAAAATCAGTCCGTGACCGTGCCGCGTTTATTCTCGGTAGACTCTACCCCATGATCTGTAAGCGGAGTAAAATGTCCCTTCGGAACAAGGTGACACTTTACAAAACTTGCATAAGACCCGTCATGACTTACGCGAGTGTGGTGTTCGCTCACGCGGCCCGCACACACATAGACACCCTCCAATCCCTACAATCCCGCTTTTGCAGGTTAGCTGTCGGGGCTCCGTGGTTCGTGAGGAACGTTGACCTACACGACGACCTGGGCCTCGAATCAATTCGGAAATACATGAAGTCAGCGTCGGAACGATACTTCGATAAGGCTATGCGTCATGATAATCGCCTTATCGTTGCCGCCGCTGACTACTCCCCGAATCCTGATCATGCAGGAGCCAGTCACCGTCGACGCCCTAGACACGTCCTTACGGATCCATCAGATCCAATAACCTTTGCACTAGACGCCTTCAGCTCTAGGAGCAGGCTTAGGGACCTCGGTAACCGTACTCGTCGAACTCGACAAAGAGTTCGCCGTGCAACCTAACCCATGAATCAGCTCGCTGAGTTTCTCGCCGGATCTTCTCAGCGGGTCGCGATTCCGATCCGGTAGTAGATTCATTCGCGAAGCAGCTACTCTTGAGTTGTTAGGTCTCCTTCGAAGGCGCTCGGGCAGCTGTTAGCAAATCCCACCCCTCCTGGCTGAGCCTTTGCTCGCCCACCTGTCCTGGTGAAACTGGAAAGGCCTCCGGGCCACCAGTAATCCTTCAATCATAAAAAAAAAGGTCAATGGGCTCCAATAGCCACTTGATATCGAATGAAATAGTCGTTAGTCCGCAGAGCACTATCTCTAAAAACATAGGTACCTATCTCTTATTAGTTTGTGGTCTGTGTACAAAAACAAGTCAACTGTCAAGTTTACTCGATACCAAATTCTGATGTCAAAAGATTATAAATTCAAAGGAGCTTGAGCTTATACTATTTTGTTCACACACCCTATAAACTCTTGAGAGTATTATGTGTAAATCAGATTGTTAAAATTCGATAACCCTAGTAAAATTAGTATTTTCTTAATTACAAAGTTATTGCTAGCTTTCAAAATGTGTGGAGGTTTCACTTGTTCGAAGAATGCTTTGATCGCGTTGAACATTCTTTACGTGGTAAGTGTGGGAAACAAAAGAATAAAATGTTATAATATTATGAAGTTCACTCTTACACATGTAAATATAAGTAGCTTATAATTTGTTTTCGATTTTAAATGCCAAATAATACTTACTTAGTTCTTAAAGTCCATGGTACAAGTTCACATTATTGTTTTTTATGTGAATGTTTTAATGGAGTGGAGTTCATGTCTAATATGTGTGTCATTTTAACATATGGTTATAATAAACTTTGTATTTTGCTGTCTTATAATATATTATAAGATTAATAGTAGAGATGGTAATATTGGATTCCTTTGTCTGTTATACACCTACCTAAATTAGTAAAAAAAAGTGTTTTAAAAACAACATAGTTCAGACTTATGAGTATTCTTTTATAAAGATTATACCTTAGACTTATTTCAACTTTTTTTCAAAATAATGTTCAGTGAAACTTAAAGCAATGTACTTTTATGGTACCATGTGGCTATATATTTCATGTCTTTATAAAAAAAAAAAACATGATTTCAATTTAAAAAATTTATCAATTTGAAAATTTGTTAAAATACAATAATAATTAACTCTGTCTGTAAATATATTTTGTCTGCTTAATAAAATACAATGTTTTTAGAAGGCTTTAATTTTTCTTGGAATCATGTATACTAAAGACTTCATAGTTATGTATGTCATAGTATGAATGTATTATCTGTTGCATTTTAGAGACAGTGCTGTTATTGATCCTGCCGTATTTTAAATACAAATTTGTTACCATTATAGGTATAAAAATAGAAGTAATGAGACCACAAAATGTATGAGAAGGGCTATATTGAATGCATGAAAATATCTTAATTTATATCATTCATAATCAAATATAAATATTACTACAACCTTTTACATACCGCCTTGTTAATGATGATTAGTGTTCGTGAGTAGTTAGGACCTAAAAGTGGAACAAAATACATACAAAACATACTCTGGCATTTCTAATACAAGTATGGATATGGATTGATAATAATGAGATAAGAAGAAAAAACTTATAGCTTCAGAACACAATTAAGTAAAACGTAACAAAAATAGCTGATAACCTATTGCACCAACCAATGCACTAGAACAGGACTAGATTCATAATACAGTATCAAGTTTAAACCTAGTTTTATGTTAACGTTCTTTTAGCTACTAACAAATTTTAATATGAATTTTAAAAAACACTGCTCTGCTAAGAAAGTACTGGGAAAAGATCAAGAATATGCAAAATTTAGTTATTCCTCCAAATTTATTTTATCACCTTCAAAGTATACTCCTTCAGAAATACATAATGAATTCACTTATGCTAATGAATATGTAATCCCAGCATCAAAACATTTTTTAAATGCTTATTCTAGCATTGAGTTGAGTATTTGCCACAAATTCTCCTTTATGTCTTCTACTGAATGAAACTGAATATTTCCTTTTATTTTACAATGTTAACTTGAGTTGCAAACATTGGTGGCCTACTAGAGCGAGGTACGTCTTCCATCACATCTTGACTGCTTTGTGATACACACATGTTTTTGATGAAGTCCATCCACCATAAGACTTCTGTAATATTTTCAGTGACTCCGAACATGAAATTCCAACGGTGATGCAAAATTTAAGACAAACTATTTATTTAATTTTTTTTTGCCCATTATGAAACTCTCAATACACACTAGCTATGAAATAAAAAGACAGCACTGTATTTAATTTAAATATGAGATGCAACTCAAACTCCGCACGAAAATTAAAAACAATTGTGCCAAACTAACAACAAAAAAAAAAATTGGAACAATACCAACAAATAGTCCATTCCCAATACATTTTTTACTAAATATGTATTAAAACCTTAATGTATATCAACAATATGATAATAACAAGGATTTTTTTTTATGTTCAACAGGTTGTAGCAAGCATCTTGATTTCAGTCACAGTCTATGGGCAAGCGTCATCCCTGGTTACCAACTTGCCCATTGTAGGTGGTATACTAGCATGTGGAGTATTTCTCATCTTAATCTCCATATTGGGGCTTGCAGGAGCAGTCAAGCATCACCAAGTTATGCTGTTCTTTGTATCCTTTTAAACAAAATAATTATAAAGATTATTATTAGTTTTAGAACATATTTTTCAAATCCTATGTGTATAAATATCAAGACAATTAGATTATAAACACGTTTTTTACTGTAGGTTAGATGAATTTCGTAAATTTAATAATAACATTCCTTAATAACTTCTCAGTACATGGNTATTTTTCAAATCCTATGTGTATAAATATCAAGACAATTAGATTATAAACACGTTTTTTACTGTAGGTTAGATGAATTTCGTAAATTTAATAATAACATTCCTTAATAACTTCTCAGTACATGGTAATACTATTCCTTTTGTTTTTGGTACAGTTTTCGATTGCTTGTGCTTGTTTGGCAGTTAACTCCGAGCAGCAAGAGATGTTGGCTCAACAGGTAATTTAAATTGATAAAATCCGTGAATAGGAACATTGTATTACAAATCACAGTTCGTTATTTATTTTTTTTTAATTAAAATTCATATGGAAACAAATTTTTTTTTATAAAATTGGCAGAATGAGTTTAAGCTTACCTTTTAATATGTGGTTACCATAACACTTCAACAAAGCTTTAAGAAAGATTGTGGTAAATTAAGCGAGATTGTATATTAATGTAACTACTTTAATTGATTTCTTTCGCTAAGAAATGATTGAATAATATTTCTCTCTTCTTAAACTGTCAGTAAAGATACATTTTTTTTATATGATGACTAGCTGACCCGGCAGACTTCGTAGTGGCTCAATCGATAAATAAAAGATCTAAACTTTTGTATAAAATAAACTTAAAACAAACAAAAGGAATCCATCTGACAGGGGACACTTCAAAAGGAAAACAAAATTGTTATTTTTATTTAATTCCGAGCATTTTCATATTTATCTACCTTTTAAACCTTCTCTGGACTTCTACAAATAATTCAAGACCCAAATTAGCCAAATCGGCTCAGCCCTTCTCGAGTTTTAGCGAGACTAACGAACAGCAATTCATTTTTATATACATAGAAGATAGAAGATAGATTATCTCAATATGGAATAATATTTTAAAAATACTTTTACAAATTTACTTATTGTTTATGTGTAGGGATGGAATAAAGTTGATATGGATGTGAAGCAGCAAGTACAAGAACGCTTCCAGTGCTGCGGCTTCCAGGACTCTACATTCACGAACACTACGGCTGATCATCCATCATGTGCTGTGGTCAATGTGAGTTAAGTCATTGTAACATTGTAACTGAGATTTTAGAACTTATATTTCAAGATGGGTGGCGTATCTGCGTTGTAAATGTCTATGGGCTCCAGTAACCACTTAACACCAGGTGGGCTGTGAGCTTGTGCACCCATTTAAGCAATTAAAAAAAGTATCATCTGGAAATACTGTTTTTCTAAAATGCGCCATTAAGCTGGAGTCGGGCAGCTGGTGATTTATAAGCTCCACCTTGGTAAAATTTAATCTGCGTGTGAAAAAAATATGTTAGTGTCTGTAATATCTATCTAGATATATTATGAAATCTAGTTTAATCTAGACAGAGTGCCCGCACTATTCACGTTAATATCTAAGAGCGTGAGAAAAAGATTAAATTAATACTTTAAATGTGTAATTTAGTTTTCAATTTAAGAAACATACTACTGATTAGAAAAAAAACATAAATGTTAAAAAGTTGAATTTCTAAATTTATAATACTAATAATCAAAATTAAAATTGTAATATGTTCGAAAAGTTGGAAATAATAAACGCGAGAGCGCAATAGCTTTTGCCCGCGACTTCATCTGCGTGGAATAGTTACATTGGCGTAAATCTACATATAGCGTAAGCTCAGCTCTTAAAAGAGAAAAATACCCTGATTTTGAAACATTCTTTATTGGTCCTATTGGTCTTAGCGTGATATTATAATATGTATATACCTAGTCAGGTCATAAGTATTGTCACACAGTAAAAACTTTTCTTTTAGAATGCTGGCCACAAAAAAATTTATTGAATTCGAATTTCGAATTGTTCATGAAAATAAAAATAGTATACATTTAGAATTTTACTCATTTTTAAATATGGAGTGGACGCTTAAAGAAGGCCGTGTTGCAGTTATTGCGTTGCATCGTTGCGGTTACGCGCCAATTCAAATTTTTAACATACTGAAAAATTTGAATACAACCAAAAGATTCGTTTATCGTACCATCAAACGATACAATGAAGACTCTAGTGTAGATGACAGGTCAAGAAGTGGTCGCCCTCGGTCTGTTAGGACTCCAGCAGTGATAAAAGCTGTGAAGGCGCGAATTCAAAGAAATCCCAAACGTAAGCAGAAACTGTTGGCCCTTCAGATGGGGTTAAGCAGAACCACGGTGAAAAGGGTGTTAAATGAAGACTTAGGGCTTCGGGCATATCGAAGAAAAACAGGACATCGTTTGAATGCTCGTCTAATGGACCTGAGACTGAAGAGATGCCGCGCTTTGTTGAAGCGGTACGCGGGAAAAAAATATCGGGAAATTCTTTTTTCGGATGAAAAAATTTTTACCGTAGAAGAGAGCTACAACAAACAAAATGATAAGGTGTACGCACACAGTAGTGAAGAAGCGAGCAACCGTATTCCGCGTGTCCAACGAGGTCATTTTCCATCCTCGCTCATGGTATGGTTGGGAGTTTCTTATTGGGGCTTAACAGAGGTACATTTTTGTGAGAAAGGTGTAAAAACGAATGCAGTTGTGTATCAAAATACAGTCCTGACGAACCTTGTGGAACCTGTTTCTCATACCATGTTCAATAACAGGCACTGGGTATTCCAACAAGATTCGGCGCCAGCTCATAGAGCGAAGAGCACACAAGACTGGCTGGCGGCGCGTGAAATCGACTTCATCCGGCACGAAGACTGGCCCTCCTCCAGTCCAGATTTGAATCCGTTAGATTACAAGATATGGCAACACTTGGAGGAAAAGGCGTGCTCAAAGCCTCATCCCAATTTGGAGTCACTCAAGACATTCTTGATTAAGGCAGCCGCCGATATTGACATGGACCTCGTTCGTGCTGCGATAGACGACTGGCCGCGCAGATTGAAGGCCTGTATTCAAAATCACGGAGGTCATTTTGAATAAACTTCAGTGTCATAAGAATCTATGTTTTGTTAAGTTAATTTTGGTATATGAATGGTTACATAATGAATAAAGTTGTTTCAATTATTTTACATTAAACATGTGACAGAATTTATGACCTGACTATGTATAGCCTATTGCCTATAGCCTTCCTCAATAAATGAGCTATCTGACACTGAAATCATTTTTCAAATAGGACCAGTAGTTCCTGAGATTAGCGCTTTCAAACAAACAAACTCTTCAGCTTTATAATATTAGTTTAACATGATATTATTGACTTCCAGGCAATATGTTGCAAGGGCATTAATACAACAAACTGCCAGTGTGAGCCTTGCATGGAGAAATTGAAGGAAACAATTGATTACGCATTTAAACTTTGTGGTGGTATTGGACTTTTCTTCAGCTTCACAGAGGTAGATAATACTTAAATATTTATTTACTTAATTACAGCATGAATCTTTTCTTATTCATTTTCTTTAAATTATATGATTGCAGATACAAAGTAGATGTTGATGAAAAAAAATATATATTTATCTTACGTTTGTCATTTCAATGTCACATTTTATCACCACTGTTTTACGAAAATAATACAGATAAGCGACATCTGAAGCAGTTTTTGAGTACAGACGTTAAATGTTATATGAATAGTTCCTTATTAAATGTTTACATTATACATAACTTGATTGTTTCAAGTAAATAGACTCTGGAAGTTACGCGAAGTCTTCGCTCGTTTCTCGTAAAAGAACAATCAAATGTGATCATTAAAAATGTAATTACCTCACACTAGTAACTTGTAATATTTTTAGATTATGCGAAACGTTACAAAATATGTTTTGGTAATGAATAATTTCTATACATTAGTTTTGTTTTGGAACAACTTAATAGGTACATACATATTAATGTTGTTTGTCAGTTTTATGTATTGTTTTAGTCACATAGATCGAGAGCTCTCGGCCACCTGTTGTTAAGTGTTTACAAGATCCCATTGGCATTACAATCCACCTTGTAGACGCGAAATCCAAAAACTTTATTGTATTGGAACTATTTTGCGACAGGAATAGGTACGATGGTGGTACCGACCCGCACTCGCGTACATACGAATCGCAAATTTAATTTTATTATTGATTTGATTATACGATGCCAATCTTCGATGATGGAAGTCGTTGGCGAACGTGCTTTGTACGTATTCACCACATTCACATTGCGGTTCTAATGGCTGGATACCTTTTATATTAATGCAATTCAGCCCTGACCATTTCATGTTGTGGTGTTTCATAGTTTTAATGGTGTCCTACGCGTAGGTCGGTTGGTTAGGCCTTTGTGTCTGTAAACACCACAACGTACATTTCATGACTTGTACTGTAAATTGCGTGGGAATAACAATTTGTTCATAAAATAGTTTCGTATGATTGCTTTACAACGTGAAGACAGTAGACCGAGACGGGTGTACTACATACATAAATAAATAATAATTTTAAAAACTTTTAAAATGTGCTGAAATGAAAACTTACGTAAACACGTTTAGGCCTGAGGGATTTCTGTAACTAATAAATTGTCTTGAATAATTATTGTGACTAACAATCTCATTTCAGTTTCTGGGTGTGTGGTTGACAGTAAGATATCGTAACCAAAAGGATCCGCGTGCTAACCCTAGTGCATTTCTGTGAATGATCCGTCCATACGGAACCTCACTAAATATAACATTTCAAGGTGGTTTGGTGTTATGAACTGTGCTTTATAATGTACACAACAGAACGACCATTGGTTACATAGTTGTATTTAAACTCTGTACGTAATGTTGATATCTGAGTCGACTATTATCAAAGCCGGCAATGTGACTTTTGGACAATTATTGGTAAATCAGAAAAACGAATTATTGACTTTGTATTCCATTGGCAGTCACAAAACTCTTCTGAACCACATCTTAGATAAATAAAAGGTTAATTTTTAACCTTTATTTAATGCAGGTTTTGAACCGTATTCTTTGAAGGAGAAGGAGAATAACATTTTTTTTGTCCAAATGCACAGATTGCCACCTTTGATAATAGACGACTCATCTGCAATGTGCGTAAATCATCTAAATTTATATCTTGAAATTATCAAATAAACACAGCTGAGGCCAACAAATAAATCATCTAACATAAACAATTTAATCAACGCTTCCTCGCGACCTTACTTTATTCCGCGGGTTTAATATGAACTATGTCACCAATGAAAATGGTTTATTACGCATCAAGATTGCATGCTTAACTAATTCGTTTGCATGTTTTGGATTTTTTACGTTTTCGCACCCCTCACTCAGCAGAATGCTTAGCACAGTTTTCACGTTCTAACTATCGTTATATTATAGAGGCGTTGAAACTAAATATTTTTCAAGTTTACCAGACCTACTACGCGCAAAGACGTAGATGTTTTTCAATTAAACATTAATTCTTAATTGGATTTTACAAAGGACATTCGTCGCGTCGTTTTAAATTACAATGACACTATTATAAAGGTGATTGACCGGAGAAAGTTATTTCATGAAACCTTATCAGATAAATAGCGCATGATTATAATTATGTACGTCATAAATGTACTGTTTTTTATGTTAATAACCTCGATTATAATATTCATACAATCTGTTGAACAACAATCACATTATCCGCTCGATACGTTTGATGTGAGAATAAAGGTGTACCTAGTTTATTCATCAGGTGTACTAACATGTAATTCGTATCGTCTAATACGATGGGAAACGTATGGATCGTTGTCAAAAGCTATAGCGTTTTATAGGAGTTTTATCGCGTCTATAGCGGCATACATGTGTATGATGTAACACAACGAGTATTATATCTATAGATAGAATAATATATACATTTGCTTAAACGATTTCATGCGAACAATCTTTAGGGATGAAGAATTGAGGGTAGTCGTATGCTGCTAAATGGCTTTGTCTCTCACAGTTATCTCTTCAAGCAATGGAGATAATTGTCATGTATATCGTGTAAGTAATCGGTTTAAAAACTTGGGAAAATTTGTTTTAAAGCAAATTTGGAATAGCAAATTGATATTTTTTTCAGATTATCTTAACATCAGTACTGTTTCTTAGTCGAGAGCGATTCCCTTAGAAGAATGTTTAGCTTAAATGAGCTTATGCACGCGCATGTTTTTATTCTAAATGAATTTATTTAGCACCATCTTGCATGTACTTTATTTTGTTTTCATAATATTATTATTAGCAGAACGCGTCTTCAGTCGGTTGATGTTTGTAAACCGTGCGAGTTCGTGTTTCAGTTGTTCGCGGTGTGGCTAGCTCGTCGCTACCGCAACCAGCCCGACCCGAACTACAAGGAGCCTCACGCGATTTTCCCAAGAAAAAATTATCTTTATTAAAAAAAAAAAAACATGTTTAAACTCATAAATTTTGTGTTCACAAATTTGCCTAATTCGATGTCAGATGAACATCACACCACAGATACAACAATGAAGCCCTGTTATTTTCTTATACGTTAGCTTAGTCGTTAGTAGGAAATTGCATTTGCTTTAAAAACACGTTATATATACTACTTAAAAGAACTCAATTCATTTTCGAATATATAATGTAGCGTGTATTTCTAGATTAATCTAACTTGAATTCTACGTTACAGAATTTTAAGTTCTTAGGATATTCGCTATCCGGATTGAGAGTTTCGGTTGGTAATTTGTGACCTAGACTTAACGAAGCAATGTATCATATTTTTGGTTCGGTAGACTGATATCTAGTATGAATAGTTTATGTAAACGAATGTGTTTAAATACAAGGTGTAAAGGACCTGTTCTTGAAGCCGAAAGGGTAATAATTTAGTACGTTAAGCGGAAAATACAAATTTGCTTACTAATATAAATGTAGATGTAGCGGTTAATTGCACGAAACAGGCATGTGGGCGGGTACAACGCTATGAGTATTATCTATCGGCTGACGTTGGCTTTACACCGGCTCCAGACGTTGGTCCTCACGTTGCCACCAACGTTGAGCGTTTAAATTGGTGAAGTGTCCACACGTTGGCTGTTATACTATAAGTTCCTTTCCGTCAGAGCCAACGTGAAGATGTGCGAAACCGAAATTGAAATTGCTCTAAGCGCTTTTACAGTACTGAGTGCGTATGATTTAAATTTGTTTGTTGGTGGGTGGCGCATTTACGTTGTGGATGTCTATGGGCTCCAGTAACCACTTAACACCAGGTGGGCTGTGAGCTCGTCCACCCATCTAAGCAATAAAATAAAATAAAAAAAAAAGAAAATGCCCGTCAAAGAAGATGATTTATGCGGGTGGCGATTTTGTTGATGAAGACATCGCGACATGAACATTCGACGCGTGTTGCAACAGGACTGAGCAAAGCGGCAACATGTGGACGGATCGCGAACGTTGGCACAGATTCCTTTGATAAAACCGACACTCGTCGGCCAACTACCAATGTTCGCCCCAAATTCGGGCCAATGCTATTTTCTAGATCCACACGTTAGGCGAGTGGCGTTGGGGCCTATGTTGGGGTCAACGTGTGGAGCCGGCGTTACTCTGAATTTCCAATGTAAGCCGTACACATCTGTAAGGTCAATGAGTCGCGTTCCGCGGTAACGTGTCGGCGGGCGGGCTCACCTGTCAAATTTCATTGTCATTTGGTTTAAATTGGTTTTCCATTTTGGGTTAACGAAATAAATGGAGCAATTTGGTTTGAATTACCCTATTCAGGAGCGGTTTCCTTACACCGAGCATAGTGACAGTAGACGTGTAATCTACGTTTTCATGTTCTAGTTTTAAGTGAGTTTGCTCATCGTTTTAGTACAATGGGTACGGTCTGCAAGAAAAGACATCGTTTTCTTTGAACATAATTGTATATTATAGCTCTGTCTATGAATATTATGATATCAACCTGTAAAACCTTTTTTTTTATTCAAATAATCTTTCATCACATTTTGATTTATATGTAACCTAGTTGAGGAATTCTGATTTTGTTTATTCTTTTGAATATTCCTTATTTCCTTGACGATTTTTTCATAGAATTTTGTTTAGATAATTTTACATTTTGTAGCCAATTTTATAGGTTTATTTTTTACTCCTAGTCAGTAGATTTTAACATAAAAGTCATACTCGTAAGAATAAAACCGTTTTGAATTATATTTAATCGTGTATTTACCAAATCGCCACACACGTTAGTCTTCTCGAAAACATCATAATATTAATAAAATAATATCTTGAGGCCTCGAATGTAATTTCATTTCACTATGTTAATAATGTCAAATTATCTTATTTTTTTGTTAGCTGTTATTATTTTAGTTGAAAAAGAATAATGATCAAAAATATTTTAGCCCTCACTGTATTTTAAAGTAAATGAAATTAAAAATTAAAGGGAAACTGCTGGGTTAAAATAAAATTATTTATGAAAAAATTATTTAGGGCTCAATGCGTTTTAGTACATAATAAAACATATTTTATAGGATTCGAAAGTAATAAATTCTCGATACTGTATATAACTAAAGCTTTAAATTTGAAATAGCTTTTTAGGCATTTTAGGTACCTTATTTTTACTTATGATTTGATAGAATATTTTCACTGTTGAAAAGCGCGGAAATGTTTCGCACTAAATAAAAAATTCTTGAAGGTTTCGTTTCTACTGAAACTACCATCTAATATAATTTTGTGCTAGAATATTTTATCTAACAGTAATAATTCACATTTACTTACGTTAAAACCTACTTTAATCCAAGATTCTGTAATTAGATGTACTCATTTCCTGTTTAGATTATATGAATTTACTCTGTGTACGTTACTTCAAAGGATATACTACATATAATTATTCTAAATTAAATAAAGTGAGCATGAATTGAAGTCGTACCTTTTTCATTTATTACCTTTTTTAATATCTGAGTCGGGTCTCTGAATAGAGTCGATTCTACTTCTTCATTTTAAACCCCAAAAAGAAAGGCTTACAGAGGAGTTGCAATGAAAGGCTCTTATCCGAATGCGACGGGGTAACGCAATGCCGCCGTCGCCAGAATCATGTCTTGTCGGAATACCCGGAATCAGTCTCGGTGCTTTTAGGACCTTCAAGTGTCGTACCTATACTTGAGTATACTGTAACTATACTTGATACCTTAGAACTTATTCTCAAGGTGGGTGGCGCATTTACGTTGTGGATGTCTATGGGCTCCAGTAACCACTTAACCAGGTAGGCTGTGAGCTCGTCCACCCATCTAAGCAGTAAAAAAAAAAGAAAAAAATTGTCGAACTCGTCAATTACGACGAACAGTTTGACGAGCGAACTAGCTCATAGACACAGCCCGTTGAGTTTTTCGCCGGATCTTCTCAGTGGGTCGCGATTCCGATCCGGTGGCAGGTTCTGCGAAGCACTGCTCTTGCTAGTGTTAGCAAATTTTCTCAGGTTGAGCCCATGAGCTCACCTACTGGAATAGCCTCTTAGGCTACCAGCGAATAGGTGTTTTTTTTTAACGAAGGGCCATAATCATTTAATTCTAGTCTTCGTTCCAAGGATTTTTTGAAGATGCTCTGTATCATTAGAATCCTTGAGCTAGACATAATGAACATAGTTATTTGATGGATAATTCTAAAGTAGCCAAAACTGAGTGGCTACGACCACTAATAAGAGTTGTTTGTAACTTTCGCGGCTGTTTAAATTAGAGTTCCTTAATTTAGGCGGGTTCTTATAAGGATTTGGATACTGAATGAGTTCACGCATAATACACCTGATGTTATTCGGTTATACCATGAAAATCGACTTGATGGTATATATCAATAAGGTCTTGCAAAAACTTTCTGGTTTGGTACCTTCAATGTACTTTAAGTCGCATGTGAATATATATTGTGTGCATGGTTTAAGTATTTAAAGATAGTCCATAAAGGAGCGTGGTAGATAATGTTAAGTTTTCTTACAAAATACCGTTTATCTGACTATCGTAACGCTAAGTCTACCTTTGGTCCAATTGTGATGAAAAGTTGTACAATTATTTAGACACTGCACGATAGTTAGTTCACTGACAAAGCTCGGCATTGACGTGGTATCATTGATCTCGGGTGTGCTATAACGATGCCCTCCAGACGAGTTTATGTGTTGGATTAACGGTAGCCAGCTACCATTCTGCCATAAAATAATTACATCTGGTGGTAAGAAGGGAAGTCACTATTCTTTCACTAAATTAAGCATAACGCCTATCGATTTATTATTTTTTAAGTTTTAGTTCATGAAATTGCAATATAGTTTATAAACTAGGCCTCCAGGCTCCTAGTTCCGGGACTGTAGATCCCGTAATATATAATAACTGACTGACCCAATGGCGCAGTAGTTAGTGCTTCTGACTGCTGGGTAGTGGGTTTTATTCCCACATCGGGCAAACATTCGTACGACGAATAGATAGCTCATTGTTTTTTTTTTTTTTTTTTTTCTTAAGTGGGTGGACGAGTTCACAGCCTACCTGGTGTTAAGTAATTACTGGAGCCCATAGACATCCACGACGTAAATGGGTCACCCACCTTGAGATATAAGTTCTAAGGTCTCAAGTGGCTGCCCCACCCTTCAAACCGAAACGCTTTACTGCTTCACGGCAGAAATAGGCAGGGTGGTGGCACCCACCCACGGTCTCACAAGAGGTTTTACCACCAGTAAGTATCTTTATCTAGTCTTTAATAGAAGTTATATAGTTAAACTATATTCGTTTACCAATTTCTAGAATAAACTAATGGTATTGTGCATTAATGTACATTACTGCACATTACTGTACTACGGGCTCGTATTAAATATAGCGATATAGTATAACTACAGCTACACCGAACACCGAATTTGTGGTTTTTTTCAATACCCACCCATAGCTTGGAAACGTGTTTGTTAAACATAAATGCTTTGTGAAAACTGCGCATGTCCTTCACAGTTCGGCTGCGTCGCCGTGTCGACGCTGGGCGGATAACGACAGCAAACAGTCGCGCAGAAAACAGTTTCATCGTTACACTCATCGATCCATTCTATCACGTTCCTTAAAAATCACTCGTCTATCCATAAGTGCCAACAGCGTTTATACCACATTATAATGTCATTCGATAACGACGAGCTACGTGACGAGTAAGTACAGTTTCACTATTTCACCATTTAATTATGGTTTATTTTCCATCAGTCTCACTAAATTGACAATCAACGATATGTAAAATTTCATTAAAAATAACACAATCAACAGTATAAATTATCAGTTTTATCTAATTTTTGCGGAACACGATAAAACTGCTTGTGTTTTAGGTTTGCGTAATATGTACTTACTTACATAGGTATATTTTGAATAGTTTCCTTGTTATGTAATAGTGATAACGTAGTAATTATAACAGAAAAGTGGACATAATTGTTTTTCTAATTAGCTAAATCTGTTGCATCGCTAAACAATGACATAAACGGCCAAGGAAAGTGCGTGAACTTGGGGCGACCTTTCGCGGCTTATATTTTCTTGAGTTCTAACATAAATATTGAGCCATCCTATTCGAAGGGTCGAAACTAAAGTTGAGGATTATAAAATCCAAAAAAATACAAAACATTGATTCGTAAAAGTATATAATATTGTAAAAATCGTAAAGTAATTTAGTAAATTGTATAGAGGTAGCTAGAGCTATTACAGACTAGAATAAAATGTGAAAATCTGAATCGTACTAACAACATTTTCATGATAAGGTTCCATAGATCAAGTTCCGAATAAGAACATTTGGACCGTCACCACTGTTGCCAACCCTACAGCTTTAACTGTAGATCTAAAATTTTTCGGGAATTCTCTTAGTTTTCAGTTTACATCTCGAAATCTAGTTTTTTATGTAAGAGGCTAGCGTCATTTATTTTATTAGAAAACGAAACTAAGAAATAAACTTTCTACGACCACAATAAAGGGTACCTTGCACACAAAGTCAGAAAATAAAAATTGTTTTGAGTTCAATGTGACAAATGACCATTTTAAAAAATTCAATAAAAGTATGTACGATTTCAACAAAACTAAAGATGAAACGGAAAATCAAGAAGACTTACAAATTGAAAATGAAATAGTAGCTAGTAATACTATCTAACATGCAGGCACTGGAATAATTTTTTTATATTGACATTTAATTAGATTAAAACTTTGATAATTACACGATTTTTCTTGTTTTTAATGCCCTCCCTGTATTCTATATATTACTATCATTAAATTATACAAAATATAATGTAAAAATAAAGATGTAGATATACTGTTTATTAATTTGATATTTAGAGTTTTCTACAGTTTTTTGAAGCAGTTTTGCTCTATGTTGGGATTGGCAACCCTGACCGTCGCGGTTGGGTCGTTTCGGTCTACTGAGAAGTATAATAACATTGGCTTGGTTGAAGAGTTTCCTTTCACGTTTACTGCGATTGCGTTCAATTCATATTGAATGTTGCTTATTTCTCATTGAAATCGGACAAAAAACAGACAAAAGATGAATATAACTTTTTGTAATTTTATAATGTCAATCAAAAGGGTAAGTCATGACTGGAGAGTCAAATTAATGGGGTATTAAACACGACGTTTTTGATGATTAAAGTACTTTAAAATGTAATAATACCAATCGAGGTTGAATGACTGTCAGGCGACCATCGGTAACATTAAAATCAAATCATTATAGAAATGCATTAGTCATTATTATGATATAACGTTCGGGAATAGCAATAAAAATCTACTTCATCTACTACTAGTTTGTTCAAGATGCTCATTAGTCGAACAAAAACTTACATTACGAAGTCTAGGCTCCAAAAACCACTTCAAATCGGGTGGAACGTATGTTTGTTTCGCTATAAATTCATAGAAAAACAGAATTAGATTTTTTTTTGTATTTAAAGCCACTACAGATCAAGTAGGTAATTTGCTAATATTCTACCGAACGTAGGTATAGATGATTATAACAACATTAATAGGACCTTTGTCATGTGCAAATATATATTAATTTAATTATTCTTTTTCGCATAGTTACGTGAAAGATCTCAGGGCTCACCTACTATAAAGTGTTTAACAGAGACCGCCTACGTGACAGACTGAGTTCTAATTTTACCTAGAAACATTTAGTTGGCTTTGGTAAGGTTAGATAGTACTGTATGAATCAGTATTTGTATCCAAAATACGGACAATAGTTGTTGATTTCAATTTAGATTTTACTTTTACAGAACGCGCTTCAATACCATTGTGTGCAAAGCTCTCAGAATTAATTGAATCAAGCCGGTTTCGAATGCAAGAAATCTGCGACTATTGTGTACAACATAAGCCCAGCATTACTACACCATCCCTAAATTCCTTTCAATCCAGACGGGTAGCTTTTATACAGATAACTGGTTTCCATTGAAATCATTTCATACATCATTCCCGCCGTTAGGAATGTACGTATGTAATGTAATGTATGTAATGTAATAAAATGCGCTAAAATAGAAGGCAAATGTAATTCGACTCCATGTAAAATAATCTAAGCATCCCATAAGTTTTTGAGACCTTGAATTTGAATGTTATTTTAATATTTTTTTTTATTGATGTTAATCAACTCACGGTTCATCTGGTCATTGATTATCGGATCCTATGGACATCACAAGAACGCGCAATAAAAAATAGCTACTTTAAACGCATATTTGCTTCGCGGCAGAAATAATTACGATGTGCTTGTTAATGCGTACTCACACATATACAGAACTACTATCAGTAGATATAGTATTTTCATTAGGCATGAATAATCCTCATGATATCGTAAATAAGATTTTTAGTTAATAATAAGTAATACCGGAATTTATTGTTATTAACATTGATTTGCGACTCACTATCATATTTACTGATCAACAGCGTAAAGAATTGCGTGAGATAATTTTGACGTCACATATTATATATTTGTACGTATATTTAAGTAACATGAGTTGTTGTATGTCCTTTAAGCGTTCTTTTGTCATTAATGCGATCGTCTTGAAACTTGATAAAGTTGTTGTTGACAATTCAGGGAAGGTTTCTGAAATAGTATTTTATAACAAAAATATAGGCGCGCGAATAAGTATCATGCAATCAATGTTTTTCATACAATTAGTGACAGTCACAGCGCAGTGTGACCTAAAAAAATTTTTTTTTTAATTGCTTAAATGGGTGGACGAGCTCACAGCCCACCTGGTGCTAAGTGGTTATTGGAGCCCATAGACATTTGCAACGCAAATGCGCCACCCACCTTGAGATATAAGTTCTAAGGTCTCAGTATAGTTAAAACGGCTGCCCCACCCTTCAAGCCGAAACACATTACTGCTTCACGGCAGAAATAGGCGAGGTGATGGTACCTACCCGTGCGGACTCACATGAGGTCCGACCACCAGTAAAAATTGTAGCTAATACAAATCTATCCCTTAAATATTTGTTTAAACTATAATTATTTCTTTAGCTTTAGATTAGTTGAATTAGCTGTAAGTTTGTGGTTTACATTTCATTAAAGAAATTGAAAATGAAGATTAAAAATTAATGATGATACATTTTTAATCATGAAACTATAAATAAAGTAATTATTAATTTTATAATCGTGAACGCTATTCTCGACGTAGTAACCGTTAATTTATTGTTAATTTTATGTTATATTTTGATTATCTGACTAATTTGTTGTACATATATTAATGTTATTTTAGATAACATGTTTTTTATTATGTATATGTATGTCGATAAATAAGATTATTTTAAACTTCCGAGCGTGAACGAAGTGACGGCTATGGATAGTACAAGATAAACGTTTTTCGTTACGTTACGTCTTGTTATGTTCATGTATAACAAATTATTACAACAGTATTATTATGGTTATCACACTAGAATGACTACAAGCGATTTACAAAGACATAACAAATACGTAGCTGCCTAGTTTTGAAATTATATTTCTGTGATAAACTGTATTAAGTCGATCTATAATGAACAAAATATTTTATAGGTGTATCGGCGGGATGTGTTATTCGATTCGGGGTGGACCCATAGAAATCGCTATACAAATACTACCCGTCATTTATACACTCAATTCGCATTCTCCGTTGCATTCAAATAATAAAGCTGTCAACTAATCATAATCAATCATCATCTATACTTCTATACTAATATTATAAAGAGGAAAGATTTGTTTGTTTGTTTGTTTCGAATAGGCTCCGAAACTACTGGACCGATTTGAAAAATTCTTTTTCCATTAGAAGCCGACATTGTCCCTGATGAACATAGGCTACTTTTTTTTTTTTTTTTTTTTTTCATGTGTGTTTTAATGTTTCCGAAGCGAAGTGAGGGCGGGTCGCTAGTAATTAATATAAACAATATTACATAAATTCAAACCATCATAATCAACTTTGTGTTTTAAAATTGTTGTTGCATATAAAAAAGGAAATTCCATTTACGATTTTAGAATAAACTCATTGTTTTCAATGATGAAATTCTAGTTATTTCCCTCCCTGTTATCGAATATTCAAAAGAGCCTTTGTGCTTAGTTTATGTGTCACGCGTGTTTCGTTTGATGTGTGCGCTACATGCACAAGGGTATGAATCGTTGCGAGTATTCTCTGAAATGGAATGGCCGACTCACAACCGTTTATTTATTATGAAACAAATAACCGGACCAGCACTAGCGTGTGTCAGTAAAAATATTTTGTCGTTCATTGACGACGTTCGCACAATTGCACCGAGTTTTCAGTAAAAGGAGGTGTGTTGTTTAGCTGAGTGATTTGTTTGCTTCCAAAGTGATAATATCGTGGATCGGAGTAAGTTTACGGTCATTTAAAAAAAAAAAAAATTATAAAGTTTATTTCTTTTTTTATAGTACTTAGTTCAGTTTGCTTACGATTCTTATATGTAATTCTATTTCATTAGTAGGTACAGCTCGTGCTCGATGTTACTATAGGTATAGATCTTAGATTCACATTAACTGTCAGATAAAGCGTATTTAATATGTGATTTAAATGTTTTTGAAAAACTAGATACTTGATACTAGAGAGATATGATTGTTTTTATTTTGCTTTTGAAATTATAGAATCCTATCTGATAAGGAATGTTTATTATCGCTCATGGATATCAGCAATGCTGAATATTAGGTGAAATTTGAATAAAGTAGGTGGATATATAAGTAGTGAAGTAAACGTTTTTATTTTTGGAATAATTAATCGATAATTTTCGATCGATAATTTTGTTTTATTTTTCCTAAGAAAATTCTCGAGTTTGTTGTGGTCAAGAAGATTTTTTTTATTGCTTAGATGGGTGGACGAGCTCACAGCCCACCTGGTGTTAAGTGGTTACTGGAGCCCATAGACATCTACAACGTAAATGTGCCACCCACCTTGAGATATAAGTTCTAAGATCTCAGTATAGTTACAACGGCTGCCCCATACTTCATACCGAAACGCATTACTGCTTCACGGCAGAAATTGGCAGGGCGGTGGTACCTACCCGCGCGGACTCACAAGAGGCCCTACCACCAGTAATTACGCAAATTATAATTTTGCGGGTTTCACTTTTATTACACGATGTTATTCCTTCACCGTGGAAGTCAATCGTGAACATTTGTTGAGTACGTAATTCATTTGAAAAATTGGTACCCGCCTGGGATTCAAGCACAGGCGCATCGCTCAACACGAATGCACCGGACATCATATCCCTTAGGCCACGACGACTTCGAAGGTAATGTCGTAACAAATTTATTATACGACACTATCGCCAACATTATAAAAACTAGGCGGATACAATCTATACTCGACACTAATATTTGAAAATAAAGTTATCTTTTAATTAGTTTGATATATCTTAAAAAAAAAAAAATTAGGGATTATACCTAATCGTTTTAAATCAATTCATTTCTGTTTTTTTTGCTTCTTGTTTTTAGTTATTTAGTTGCTGTTATTACAAAAATGAACGGCCACACCAACGGTATTAATGCTGTTCAATCACAAGCCACTTGTTCACGTAATCCTCACAGAAGGACATTTGATAACGACGACGAATTTCAAGAAACCGATGGAACTCCTGTAGGAGCCGACGACAATTCCGTTAGGTTGTAAAAGAAACATTTATGCATTAACACAAAGTCAATAATTAAAAAATCGATAAGAAAAATTAACATTTATGCACACGAAAAGAAAATAACATATTTTTAACGAATAACAATGCTTTGATAAAACAATGTTACCTTGCAATGTGAAATCATCTTTTTGAAAGTCACGTTTTATTGCTTTCGTGTTTGCCTTAACGGTTGGTAACTGCTATCGCTTTTTTAAAATAACACATAAATAAGCTTTTACTTATATTTCTTATATTCTTATATTTTAATCACGTCACTAACTTAGATTCTCTCGTCTTGAAGATTTTCCCGCATCAATATAATTGATAAAACTTAAACAAATCGCTTCGACTTGGATGGTTTCGAGCTGATATTATATTTAGCTAAACATTAACACCATGTAACCAAATGTAACCAAAAAATCGAAAAAAAAAACATCATCTGCTAGATATATATTATAGACGGCGAAATTTGGGAATTAACGACATATGTATGGATTAATATACGCAAAATTGTTTTTTTTTATTATACCTTCAGTAATCAAAACAATAATTAAATAGATTATCAGTAATACTTTTTAAATATTTACGACGCTGTATGATGTATGGCTGTAGATGTATGTATTATAAATACTTTGTGTCTATTACACCAGCTTTTCTTGAAAAGTTCAAACGTAACTCAAACCTAAATAAAGCACGAATAGCTCTGTGAAAATACAGGTCTACGTAAAGTCGAAATCCACATGTCGTATTCGTGTGTCTTGCTTTATACCTAGATCGATTTATGAGAGCTTTCGTATTGAAACTTTAAATCATCATATTCCAGATCAGTATCATATTTTTTTCGCAAAATACCGCGAGTTTTTGCCGTTTTTTAAAAAGTGTTTACTGTTTCAAAACGGAAAACAAAATGTGAAATTTTCGAAATAGCAGAAGGCTCCCATTTATATTGTATACTAGCTGACCCGTCAGACTTCGTAGTGCCTCAATCGATAAATAAAAGACTTAAACTTTTGTATAAAATAAACGTAAAACAAACAAAAGGAATCGGTCCAACTGGGGTCACAGCAAAGGAAAAACAAAATTGTTATTTTTATTTAATTCCGAGCATTTTCATCTACCTTTAAACCTTCTCTGGACTTCCACAAATAATTCAAGACCAAAATTCGCCAAATCGGTTCATCCGTTCTCGGGTTTTAGCGAGACTAACGAACAGCAATTCATTTTTATATATAGAGATTAAAAAAAACTAATCACAGGGACATTGGTACGGTAGTTAAAGATCGTATGGTGTGAAATATATTACCTCTAGTACGAATAAGAATTACGATATAACGATTTTAGTAACATTCGAAAAACAGTGTTTCTACTACATACTTCCGTGCATATAGCTTCCATTTTTTTTCCAGCCCGTTTATTAGATTTTCCACACGATATCGTTAAGTTCAACTGTTTTTATTTCCATAGCATGTACAGAAAAGATCACGTTCTTCTTATTATTAAATGGTTACAGAATCCATAAACATCCCAACGTGAATACCGCTACCCACCTTGATACATACCGTTGAAGTTTTAATGATATTGTCCCATCAAATGAGAACGCGTGATGGGTTAGTGCCAGAAATAACAAATATGGTGGTACTTACCTGCTTACAACACACCCTACTACCAGGAGATGTAAAATTCAATCGCTCACACATACTACTAATATCCTAAAAGTGTTACAAATAAGCTGAGATAATTGAAACATTAGAAAAAACTCGAAAATAGTCAATTTAAACGAAATTAATTACGCCTTAAAAGTTCATTAACCTTTTGTGGAAAATCTCAACTTTGTTCATTTTCAAATTGCATTTTTGTTTATAGATACCCAGATGGCACTGTCCGATTGCGTAACCCTAACATTGAACTCATGGACCAAGATATTCTCTACCATTTGGCCCTTGGGAGCGGCTCCCATGATCTTGTTGAGATGTTTGGAGACGTCAAGGTATTTGGACTTATGAATCTGTTATTTTATGAATATTCTTCCAAACCTCAAAAAGCACGGTGAAAGGATCATTAACATTCTCAGTCTATCATTTTATACAGTATATCATTTTACAATGGCAATTGTTGATGAAAATAGATTACAGTATTGTTTTACTCAACTCATGTATTGTTTAACCGGAGCATCATTACCATGTATTTGTGCTCTAGTGTTTTATTTAAACAAGAACAGTTGCACAAAATTAAAACTAGTGTTACGGATCAATCGAGACCACTTTTTTTAAACGAAATGAATAAAGCAGAATTAAAAAACCGTCAATGTAGTTTAAAATTTTTAATCGTGTCTATGTTTCATGAAAATGAAAGTTGTAAATAAAACTTTAGTTAAGCATTGATAAAAAAATCTTTGCACTATGCCACCTCACTACTTATTTTTGTATTATGATGAAATCATTTGCAAAACGGCAACCTTTCGTTTCGTGACTGATATGAATTGCGAAGTTGTTACTATCGACCTTAACCCGTTTGATAGACATTGGTTAAGATATGGAACACAATATCGATATTAGTTAACTAATAAAACAAGTTCAAAACCATGTCCGTTTTCTTTATCAATTCAATATATTAATATTGTACGTTTCTTCAGTTTGTGTGCATGGGCGGAACACCGAAACGCATGGAACAATTCGCATACACAATCATGGCGGAGATAGGGCACAAGTTGCCTTGTGGAACTACACTGCAAGACATCAGTCATTTTTCTTACAGATACTCCATGTATAAAGTTGGCCCGGTACTTTCTATAAGTGTAAGTATAGAACATAAACCTTACTAATTAAGAATACACGTATATACTTAAGAACTAATAAGCCCTTAGGTACATAACAATAATTTGTTTGGCCACATGGATTTGCGGCACGACGACCTTAAGTTATCACTGTTTACTTCATCGTCATCGCTTCCATAGTAGTTATAGTAATAAAACAAAGAGGGGATTATATTATTATGTGAACTTCTTATTCTATTGAGTATTATTTAGTGTGGTGCATTATGAACCTATCACCCATTAGTATTTTTATATTTCTGTCGCCAAACAATCATGATTTCTAGTTTGAAAACTGGATTGTTAATAAGACTTGAGGCCGAAGTCTTAGGTTGCGGAGCAATATCTAATAGTGGTCTCTGTGGACTCTATAGTCCTCTTATAGCAGATAGATCTAGAGCTAGTGTGTGTACATCGATATATATACATCCGGCTATGGAATTAGCTCCCCTCCACGGTGTTTCCTGAGCGCTATGACATGTCCTTCTTTAAAAGAGGCTTGTGGAGAGTATTCAGCGGTAGGCAGCGGCTTGGCTCTACCCCTGGCATTGCTGAAGTCCATGGGCGACGGTAACCACTCACCATCAGGTGGGCCGTAAGCTCGTCTGCCTACAAGGGCAATAAAAAATATATGGAAAAGCCAACCGTTTTTACGTAAATCAGTTTAATAATAATGAGGCTTTTCCAAATAAAAATAGAACATTAATGTTTCATGAAAGGTGACTAATAAATCCCTTAAGTTCGTAAAATAAAATAATGTTGAACTTGCTAAACTGTTATAAATTATTGTAAGTATTGTATAATAAATTGTAAATTATTGTAAACTGTTTTAAATTATTGTATACAGATTGCTCTCAATTGAAACAAATTAATGAAGCTCTCGTATCTTGTTACATGCAGTTGATGTTAATAAATGCCTTGGACTTTTCCGTAATACACGATCGCTGTATTATTATTGCCAATTGTGAAGTTAATAATGACCTTGAACACACAACAACCGTCATTAAAATTCCACTCAATGCAGAAAGGACTGAAACTCGTTCTTGTCTAGAGTATTTCCTAGATGTGGGTTGTAATTCTTTATGTTTTGTATTAAAATCAAGGTATTCGATAAATTATTTAGTTTTAATAAAATAAAACCATTTTTGCTTCATAGAAACCGAAAGAATAAAGATGTATAAAATAAAATAGAGGTCATATATTAGATTTCAAAAATTTGTTGTAAATAGTAGGTATATATTAAATTGATTCTGTTTAAAAATTTAAATTATTGTTATAAATCTTTTTAAAGATAAAACTGAGCTGCTCAACCAGACAACAGTGACGAGTTTGTTAGAGCCTTATTCATAAGAATTGTTAATGGCCCTTTTTCAGATCTTGTCCCTAAGCTATGTGACGGATCGCAAATCTATCGTTATTTTATGCAAAGGACATTAAACCACAATACCTTGTTTACCGAATTAATTTTCTAATTATTAAAAATTCCATATTTATAACTTAACTTTGATCCCAAACAATATCCAAAATCGTAGTATCCAGTATCAAATGTTTTAGTGTCAGTGTGTGATGTCAGTGGATCATGTAGACACGTCGGGTCATATTATGCAAAATTAATAATCTAAATATAAATGTTTTTCTTTTAAATTTAGTGTTGGTGGTATTAGAAGCATGTACGGGTAGATAAAATTATTCTGCTTATTTCTCACGCGAACCTAGGCATTCCATTGTAAATGTAGGATAGCCGAAATCCATGAAAACATCGAACTCATGTCTCAGTGTGGGCCGCGGCACTATGATATCTACGTGTGCCTTTAGTAAACTAATGTAAGTAAGTAAGTAACTAAAGTAAACCTAATGAATGAAAATATAGTATTCTTTCTAGTTTATTACGATTTTTGTACTAGTTATTATATGGTAGTTTTTAAAGCTATACGATAAAAACACGAGGAGTACCTAAACCCTTAAAAAACAATTATAATGTATTATAATTTGCTGTTTTATCATCTAGAGCAATCTCTTCCCGACAGCACTGTAGTGCACTTCGTACACAGAGAGAAAAATACACGCGTACCTACAAAATTTTCTAAAGGGTACTTTAGTTCCATAGGAAGCAATGGCTCGTCGAATTAGACATATTATCACGGAGACGACTTCGCGCCGTTCCAATAGACGCCATACCTAACAGTTTCCTATTTTGCATCTATGTTCTTATATTTTGTTATTGTATGTACGACCTCATTAACGATGGTCGATTTATTATCACGGTTTAGTTACGAAGGATCAATAAGTTCATAACGTCAGTAATTACGATTGATTATCAATTAAATTGCTTTGAGAATACATACAGATATAAAAACAAAAACAACCATTTCCCTACTATGTTTTGCTTCCGCACGATTTTTTCACGAAAATTAATCTCTGATTTTAAATAGTGTTTTACGTAGGCAGCGTTTTGGCTGCATCTCTGGCATTGCTGATAAACAACAGTGACTGGTCACCATCACCGCATTCTCGCGTCTGTCTTTGTAAACAATAAAAAAGGCACATCTTTATAGGATTCATAACAAATTAAAGCAATTGATATGCGAAACTAAGCCGCAGTATTATAATCTGTTCTAAATGTCGACCCTTTATTAGTTACAAGAGGTCCTACCACTAGTAAATAAAAGAACACTTATTGCGGCATAACTACAATAGTTCGACATACACTGTCGCGACACTTTTTGTAACTAATAATGTGTTCTACAAAGTCGTAGTACATTCTTTTATTCTATCATCAATAGTTTTCGCAGGGCACGCGATGTAAAGAATATTTTAGGTAGGTATTTTTTTTACACCTTGGGTTACATTATTGGAGTTTTAGTAAAGATCCCAAATTTTTTCAAAAAAGATTACGGCCTATGTCACTCAGAAATAGTGTCGCTTCCAAACAGTGAAATTCCAAATCGGTTCAGTAGTTACGGAGCCTATTCAATACAAACAAACAAACAAATCTTTCCTTTTTATAATATTAAGTATAGATAGATTTTAAGAATTAATATTTAAAATTATTTTAATGTTAAAGTTCCTGCTATGAAATAATTTCAGCACGGTATGGGCATACCTTCTGTCGGAATCCTGCTTCACGAAGTCATAAAGTTGATGTACCACGCGAAAGTCCGTGATCCTGTGTTCTTCAGAATCGGAACATGTGGTGGTATAGGCTACGAAGGCGGTACGGTTGTTATTTCCGATGAAGCCGTCGATGGAGCCCTGAGGAATGTTCTAGAACTGGTGAGAATAAGAAGCTTATGAATAATTTGATTTCATAACATCGTGCTGTCCGCGATTATCAATTGATTAAAAATATAAAGTAATAATAGATATCGTTATTTTTGTTACGAATTTTGCTTTAACGTCATGTTGTTTTATTTATTTATTTTGTCGCTTCAGATACGAGCTCATCGCTCACATAGTAAGTGGTATACGAGCCCATAGACATAGCAATGTGAATACCGGCAGCCATCTTGAGACAAGAGGTTACTGTCTACATTATATTGCTTAATGACTGTTCCGGTTGTCATATTGCACGAGTCATAAGCGAGATGATAGTAACTGTTGGTCCGAGTTCACTAATCACTATACCGACGTCATTGATGTATTAAAAAACCCAAGATACACACTCAGCGTCTCAAAAACGTCTGCATAAAATGAGCGCACAGTTTAGAATTGTGCGCTGCATGTATTGTACACTGCTTTGTAATAACAACTTTAAACAATGCGCGCAAAGTTGAATTTGCAAAAGATATGTTTATAGTTAACTATAACTACGTAGATATAATTGGTGAGTGTTTCGGGACAGTTTCGAGTGCTACTTTTGTATGAAACTGTGTATCTTAGGTTTTTATATATCAATGATCGACGTATCACCATTTAGTTTTTCCGCAGCTAGAATCTAAATGAAAATGTGATTATTCTTATCTTTTCTTCTTAAATCATAATTCTCTTAATAAGTTAATAATATAAGTTTCCAGGCACGATATTCTGATTTAGTTATATGTATATCTAAATATGTAACTAATAACTGGAGTACTGGTAGCGACATCTAGTATAAGATATGTAAATTATAAGTATGTATGTAACTACCTTTTTTAATGAATGTCAGTTTTTTCATTGTTTAAATTTCTATTCGTCTCTGTTTAAATTTCAGACAGTTTTAGGAAAAATAGTTCAGCGTCCAGCGAAACTGGATCGGCGATTAGTTAGGGAGCTGAAAGCACTGGCCGATCCCGAAGACCCCTACGACACCGTGACCGGCAAAACAATGTGCACGTACGATTTCTATGAAGGTTAGGATGTTTTATGGATTCGATATCACGCTGGAGCCTGTCATCGTCGACGCCCTAGATACGTATTTACGGCTCCATCAGATCCAATAACCTTTGCATTAGACGCCTTTAGCTCTAACTTTTTTACTGGTGGTAGGACCTCTTGTGAGTCCGCACGGTAGGTAACACCGCCCCGCCTATTTCTGCCGTGAAGCAGTAATGCGTTTCGGTTTGATGGGCGGAGCAGCCGTTGTAACTATACTGAGACCTTAGAACTTATATCTCAAGGTGTGTGGCGCATTTACATTGTAGATGTCTATGGGTTCCAGTAACCACTTAACACCAGGTGGGCTGTGAGCTCGTCCAAACACCTAGGCAATAAAAATAAAAATAATAATAAAAAAACACTAGGAGTAGGCTTAGGGACCCTGGTAACTGTACCTACTCGTAGAACTCGACAAAGAGTTCTACGTGCAACCTAACCCATGCATCAGCCCGCTGAGTTTCTCGATTAATCTTCTCAGCGGGTCGTCATTCCGATCCGGTAGTAAATTCATTCGCGAAGCAGCTGCTCTTGAGCTGTTAGGTCTCCTTCGGAGGCGCTCGGGCAGCTGTTAGCAAATCCCACCCCTCCTGGCTGAGCCTTTGCTCGCCCACCTGTCCTGGTGAAACTGGAAAGACCTCCGGGCCACTAGTAAACTTCCAACAATAATAATAAAAAAAAGGATTCGATATTTTGTGAGGTCTCCTTTAGAGGCGCTCGGGTAGTTGTTAGCAAATCTCACCTCTCCTGGCTAAGCCCTTGCTCGCCCACCTGCCCTGGTAAAACTGGAAAGGTCTCCGGACCATCAATAATCTCTCAAACATAAAACAAGAATTCGATATTAGTCTTTTGATATGATCATACTAAGGGTCTGTGTTAGCCACAAAAAGCATCACCTATTCGAGGTATTGATTGCAATTCTGAATTTAAATACAAAATTTGGGCTCCGGTGAAAATCATTGCGAAATAAAAATCCACACATTCACATTGTGCTGTGTAAACTATATAAAACTCTATAATAATATGTGCATATAATATTACATTTAAAAATGAATCAAAATTCAAATATATTATAGTACCATATACTTACCTACATATTCTTGGTTAGATCAATAAAACACGAATGAATCAGTTCAGCTCGGTTTCTATTTCTATATGCTATTTAAATCTGTGTGTCTTATGTTCATGTGGCCCGTTAGAAATAAAGAATCTTATTAAATTAGAAAATGAAAACATTTCAGGACAAGGTCGTTTAGATGGTGCCTTTTGTGATTTCACCGAAACTGATAAGATGGAGTACTTAGAGAGCATCCACAAAGCCGGCGTTGTTAACATTGAGATGGAGTCCCTCTCTTTCGCCGCCCTCACTCATCACGCGGGCATTAAGGCAGCTGTCGTCTGCGTTACTGTTTTAGACAGATTGAAGGGTGATCAGGTACTTTATTCAGTCAATAAATTAAATCGCAACACGCTTAGCCAAAAGGGATTAGTATGATTTTTAATGTTTAGTTTTATTCAGTGGTTCAGCTTTAGTTTGAAGAATAGGTCTTTTGTTATGCGAGACAATGAAAGCTCCTACCTTATTGGTGGCATTTGTTAGCTTCGGTAACCACTTAACATCCCAGGAAAAGGGAACTCGATGGTCCAACGTAACTAATAAATAACGAACAACGAGGCAATTTCATTCAAATTCAAGTATTTCCGACATAAGCTGATAATCTAGAGGGTCGTTTTCAATTTTGTGGTAATAACGATTCCACGAATTTAAACTGTCTCTAACTTTACATTATTTTGTATTTAAGCGTGTTCTGGTTAAAATGCTTCATGACAATCAAGTCAATCACTCATTTAGTAATAATACAGGGTGGCCCATAAGTCCTTTGAAAAGTAAAATTTGAATAAAACGAACAGGGCGCGCGTGAGCGGTGCAGGGGAAGCGGGGGGAGTAACTTCGGTTTCTGGGAATTTAGTCGCGATGGAGCGTTTTACCCACGGAATAGATAAATAAGGTTGGAAAGGCCTTTGCTCTAATTTTGTATTAGAACCAGTGTCACCGCTTCATCCCCACTATTTTAATTTCTACACATACACACACTGTGATTACAAGTATTTCGCACACAACAAAAACACCCACACATAAATCTCAGGACAGATATTCGTTCGCAAACTAGCACAAAACACCCGTAGGCATACACACTCACACACGCAAAAAGGCAATAAAAATGTTCATACACGCTAGTGCTTGATAAAATCGNCTTTGTCGGCAAATGTTCCACGAACACAAAAATAACTAAAACAAAACAAATAAAAGCTTCCAGGAAACACACTTGGTCGGCAGATGTATCACGAACACAGGCCGCGCGAACAATGGCCGGGCTAACAAAAGCCGGGCGAACAAAGACCGGGCGATCGAGTGGACGATGAGCACGTCCGCACGTGACGGGTGCCTCTATCGGAATGGCCCTTTTTCAGATCTTGTGATGATGTGACGGATCGCAAATCTATCGTTATTTTATGCGAAGGACATTAAACCACAATACCTTGTTTACCGAATTAATTTTCTAATTATTAAAAATTCCATATTTATAGCTTAACTTTGATCCCAAACAATATCCAAAATCGTAGTATCCAGTATCAAATGTTTTAGTGTCAGTGTCTGATGTCAGTGGATCATGTAGACACGTCGGGTCATATTATGCAAAATTAATAATAAAATATTAATGTTTTTCTTTAAAATTTAGTGTTGGTGGTAGTAGAAGCATGTACGGGTAGATAAAATCATTCTGCTTATTTCTCACGCGAACCTAAGCATTTATTGTAAATGTAGGATAGTCGAAATCCATGAAAACATCGACCTCATGTCTCAGTGTGGGCCGCCGCACTATGATATCTACGTGTGCCTTTAGTAAACTAATGTAAGTAAGTAAGTAACTAAAGTAAACCTAATGAATGAAAATATAGTATCCTTTCTAGTTTATTACGATTTTTGTACTAGTTATTATATGGTAGTTTTTAAAGCTATACGATAAAAACACGAGGAGTACCTAAACCCTTAAAAAACAATTATAATGTATTATAATTTGCTGTTTTATCATCTAGAGCAATCTCTTCCCGACAGCACTGTAGTGCACTTCGTACACAGAGAGAGAAATACACGCGTACCAACAAAATTTTCTAAAGGGTACTTTAGTTCCATAGGAAAGCAATGGCTCGTCGAATTAGACATATTATCACGGAGACGACTTCGCGCCGTTCCAATAGACGCTATACCTAACAGTTTCCTATTTTGCATCTATGTTCTTATATTTTGTTATTGTATGTACGGCCTCATTAACGATGGTCGATTTATTATCACGGTTTAGTTACGAAGGATCAATAAGTTCATAACGTCAGTAATTACGATTGATTATCAATTAAATTGCTTTGAGAATACATACAGAAATAAAATCAAAAACAACCATTTCCTTACTATGTTTTGCTTCCGCACGATTTTTTCACGAAAATTAATCTCTGATTTTAAATAGTGTTTTAAGTAGGCAGCGTTTTGGCTGCATCTCTGGCATTGCTGATAAACAGCAGTGACTGGTCACCATCACCGTATTCTCGCGTCTGTCTTTGTAAACAATAAAAAAGGCACATCTTTATAGGATTCATAACAAATTAAAGCAATTGATATGCGAAACTAAGCCACAGTATTATAATCTGTTCTAAATGTCGACCCTTTATTAGTTACAAGAGGTCCTACCACTAGTAAATAAAAGAACACTTATTGCGGCATAACTACAATAGTTCGACATACACTGTCGCGACACTTTTTGTAACTAATAATGTGTTCTACAAAGTCGTAGTACATTCTTTTATCATCAATAGTTTTCGCAGGGCACGCGATGTAAAGAATATTTTAGGTAGGTATTTTTTTTACACCTTGGGTTACATTATTGGAGTTTTAGTAAAGATCCCAAATTTTTTCAAAAAAGGTTATGGCCTCTGTCACTCGGAAATAGTGTCGCTTCCAAACAGTGAAATTCCAAATCGGTTCAGTAGTTACTAGTTACGGAACCTATTCAATACAAACAAACAAACAAATCTTTCCTTTTTATAATATTAAGTATAGATAGATTTTAAGAATTAATATTTAAAATTATTTTAATGTTAATGTTCCTGCTATGAAATAATTTCAGCACGGTATGGGCATACCTTCCGTCGGAATCCTGCTTCACGAAGTCATAAAGTTGATGTACCACGCGAAAGTCCGTGATCCTGTGTTCTTCAGAATCGGAACATGTGGTGGTATAGGCTACGAAGGCGGTACGGTTGTTATTTCTGATGAAGCCGTCGATGGAGCCCTGAGGAATGTTCTAGAACTGGTGAGAATAAGAAGCTTATGAATAATTTGATTTCATAACATCGTGCTGTCCGCGATTATCAATTGATTAAAAATATAAAGTAATAATAGATATCGTTATTTTTGTTACGAATTTTGCTTTAACGTCATGTTGTTTTATTTATTTATTTTGTCGCTTCAGATACGAGCTCATCGCTCACATAGTAAGTGGTATACGAGCCCATAGACATAGCAACGTGAATACCGGCAGCCATCTTGAGACAAGAGGTTACTGTCTACATTATATTGCTTAATGACTGTTCCGGTTGTCATATTGCACGAGTCATAAGCGAGATGGTAGTAACTGTTGGTCCGAGTTCACTAATCACTATACCGACGTCATTGATGTATTAAAAAACCCAAGACACACACTCAGCGTCTCAAAAACGTCCGCATAAAATGAGCGCACAGTTTAGAATTGTGCGCTGCATGTATTGTACACTGCTTTGTAATAACAACTTTAAACAATGCGCGCAAAGTTGAATTTGCAAAAGATATGTTTATACTTAACTATAACTACGTAGATATAATTGGTGAGTGTTTCGGGACAGTTTCGAGTGCTAATTTTGTATGAAAGTGTGTATCTTAGGTTTTTATATATCAATGACCGACGTATCACCATCTAGTTTTTCCGCAGCTAAAATCTAAATGAAAATGTGATTATTCTTATCTTTTCTTCTTAAATCATAATACTCTTAATAAGTTAATAATATAAGTTTCCAGGCACGATATTCTGATTTAGTTATATATATATCTAAATATGTAACTAATAACTGGAGTACCGGTAGCGACATCTAGTATAAGATATGTAAATTATAAGTATGTATGTAACTATCTTTTTTAATGAATGTCAGTTTTTTTATTGTTTAAATTTTTAATCGTCTCTGTTTAAATTTCAGACAGTTTTAGGAAAAATAGTTCAGCGTCCAGCGAAACTGGATCGGCGATTAGTTAGGGAGCTGAAAGCACTGGCCGATCCCGAAGACCCCTACGACACCGTGACCGGCAAAACAATGTGCACGTACGATTTCTATGAAGGTTAGGATATTTTATGGATTCGATATCACTCAGGAGCCTGTCAACGTCGACGCCCTAGATACGTATTTACGGCTCCATCAGATCCAATAACCTTTGCATTAGACGCCTTTAGCTCTAACACTAGGAGTAGGCTTAGGGACCCTGGTAACTGTACTCGTAGAACTCGACAAAGAGTTCGACGTGCAACCTAACCCATGCATCAGCCCGCTGAGTTTCTCGATTGATCTTCTCAGCGGATCGTCATTCCGATCCGGTAGTAAATTCATTCGCGAAGCAGCTGCTCTTGAGCTGTTAGGTCTCCTTCGGAGGCGCTCGGGCAGCTGTTAGCAAATCCCACCCCTCCTGGCTGAGCCTTTGCTCGCCCACCTGTCCTGGTGAAACTGGAAAGACCTCCGGGTCACTAGTAAACTTCCAACAATAATAATAAAAAAAGGATTCGATATCTTGTGAGGTCTCCTTTAGAGGCGCTCGGGTAGTTGTTAGCAAATCTCACCTCTCCTGGCTAAGCCCTTGCTCGCCCACCTGCCCTGGTAAAACTGGAAAGGTCTCCGGACCACCAATAATCTCTCAAACATAAAACAAGAATTCGATATTAGTCTTTTGATATGATTATACTAAGGGTCTTTGTTAGCCACAAAAAGCATCACCTATTCGAGGTATTGATTGCAATTCTGAATTTAAATACAAAATTTGGGCTCCGGTGAAAATCATTGCGAAATAAAAATCCAAAAATACACACATTCACATTGTGCTGTGTAAACTATATAAAACTCTATAATAATATGTGCATATAATATTACATTTAAAAATGAATCAAAATTCAAATATATTACAGTACCATATACTTACCTACATATTCTTGGTTGGATGAATAAAACACGAATGAATCAGTTCAGCTCGGTTTCTATTGCTATATGCTATTTAAATCTGTGTGTCTTATGTTCATGTGGCCCGTTAGAAATAAAGAATCTTATTAAATTAGAAAATGAAAACATTTTAGGACAAGGTCGTTTAGATGGTGCCTTTTGTGATTTCACCGAAACTGATAAGATGGAGTACTTGGAGAGCATCCACAAAGCCGGCGTTGTTAACATTGAGATGGAGTCCCTCTCTTTCGCCGCCCTCACTCATCACGCGGGCATTAAGGCAGCTGTCGTCTGCGTTACTGTTTTAGACAGATTGAAGGGTGATCAGGTACTTTATTCAGTCAATAAATTAAATCGCAACACGCTTAGCAAAAATGGATTTGTATGATTTTTAATGTTTAGTTTTATTCAGCGGTTCAGTTTTAGTTTGAAGGATAGGTCTTTTGTTATGCGAGATACTGAAATGACGCATGGGTGGTATTTACTAGCTTCGATGACCGCTGAACATCCCAGGAAAAGGGAACTCAATGATCCAACGTAACTAATAAATAACGAACAACAAGGCAATTTTATTCAAATTCAATTTTTTTTCCTACATAAGCTGATAATCTAGAGGGTTATCCCAGTGTAACCGGGCGAGTTGGTGAGCTCACTGGGCTCAAACCTGAGGAGGAAATTCACTGTAAATACCCTTAACTTTGTATCTGAAGTATAATAATTTTTCTTCTTAGTCGAATACTTCATTGCTGAAGGTCGTGTCCCTAAAAGCCCTTCGTGGCTCTTTGTACCATCAGCTTCCATTTGCTTCGGTTTTCTGCTTCTCTCAGGGCGTTCACAACAGAGTCCAGTGAGGGCAGTTATCTGATCCGACCAACGGTTTGGTGGCCGGCCGGCGGGTCTTTTCCCTTCTACCTTGCCCATGTATAATAATTAAAGCGTACGAAATATCACTATCTCGCATAGCTATTAAAAACGTAAACGGAACGTATGACTAAAACGATAAGCTTTATTTCCAGAAACCGATAAAACAGAATTCATTTTTAAATTGATCTAAATCAGATAAGAATTACGTAAAGTTAAACATCTATTAACGCACACCTAGATACCTAGTTATGTTTTTGTTGATTAAATTTGATAAATGTATAATTTTTGTGAGATTCCATCAAACGTACTTTTGATTAAATCCGAGGGTGGTTATCGGAAATTTTTGCGTTAGATTACTGAGTTGTTATTTGGAGAAACCGAGATTTCTACATTTTTATCTGTTGACGAATTCAATTTATTGACAAGTAGGTACTTATCTTTTGTTTTTGGATTGTTTAAAAAAAATACTTTTGTTATTCTAGGTTTTAGCTCCTAAAGAAGTTTTGGATGAGTGGCAACAGCGTCCCACGAAGCTAGTTTGCCGTTACATTAAAAGGTATTGAAAGTATATTGAATGAATAATTCCTTTCTAGTAAATAGTTATTATTTATTAACCGAGAGGGGAGATCGTTTACAGCCATGAAGCAGTAATGCGTTTCGGTTTGAAGGGTGGAGCAGCCGTTGTAGTGTTAAAACTGTGACCTTAGAACTTTTGTCTCAGATGGGTGGCGGCATTTAAGTTGTTGATGTCTATGGGCTCCAGTAACAACTTAAGACCAGGTGAGCCCTGAGCTCGTCTTTTTTTTTAATTTTTTTTTATTGTAGGCAGACGGGCATACGGCCCACCTGATGGTGATTGGTTACCGTCGCCCATGGACTTCAGCAATGCCAGGGGCAGAGCCAAGCCGCTGCCCACTAACCACCACCGTCCACCCATCTCAGCAATAAAAAAAGGCTAATTATTTATATACATAGTTGTCATATAAAATGACGGACCCCTAAACAATACGAGGTTCGTCAATTCCTGTAATTTCCTGTAAATTCAATAACCTGTCATTAACTCTTTACACATGCTTGCAATACCTAAGAAACTTATGATGACTGCCCATGATATACTTTGTCGGTATCAAAATCAACTTTAAGAAAATTATGAAATGTCCATGAAATTAATACTTATCAGAGTGAAAGTAATGAATTAAAATTACGAATAAATAATATTTAGGAAAAGACGTACCGGGCTAAGAAATATTATTGGAGTTTTTTCAACTGTTTATTTTTATTTTCCAGTGATGTTCAAATGTAATAAATTCAATGAATTTTGAAAGTTCCATTGAAAGTCACATGCTTTCGAATCTTTGATTCTGGTTGAATGTCCTATAAACTAGTATTTTTGCATTCACGTTATTTACTGCACTGTATGTATGCAGAATCCCGATGTTTATCTCCACGTTGCCAAATTATTGCGTAGAAATATTTAGGTATAAAACGTCAGTAATTTTTTTTAAACATATTTTATATAGAAAATTCAATGATCGCTAAGTTATTTCAAATAGAACCCGTTAGAAAGTACTTAGTTTAAATTATAAAAAAACGAGTAGTTATAAATGTACTGCTCTTATTTAGCGTTTTTAATAAATAAACAGCTAATTTACGTAATGAATGGTTGTAAACTGTTTACGTTTGCCTGTTTTTAGGTATCTTCAGGTGAAGGGAAAAATCTCTTTAGATGGTCACGGTTCCATTGCCGTGAAGAGTCCCCGCCGGTTCAAGCTTGTGCAGCAGGAATCTGAGACATATGATTAAAACTATAACACTGTTCATCGAATCGTTACGGCCACGAATACATTTAAGTCGTTTGCATAAAATATTATCAAGATCTTGTCAGAATTAAAAATGTATGTCTTTGTTTCAACAGCAGAAATGTTAGTACATGAAAAAGCTGAAATCTTTGTTACAGTATTTTTGTGGGGTCCCTAAAATTTTAATATTTCAAATGGTCCATTAATATTGGTCCTGGTTCTTATATTGTATAAGCCCGCTGCGCTGAATTAACTTGAATCAGTGCAAGCTAAGTTTTATAAAAAAAAATAACTGGAATAGTAACTGAGATGTATTTGTTGATGAATGCTTCCCAAAAATATATCGTATTGTCTTGAAAAGTCGGTAATTTAGCGGACTTCTAAGAATTATTCGAAACATTAAATAATAATGTGTTGACCTGATCTTGAAATTGTATCGCAAATAAATATCTCAGTAAATTGTTTATATCTCTACTATTTATTTTATCATAACGCAAGTAGATGACGAGCTGTCGAAGCTTGACGATATGAGCTATATTTTGATGTTCGAGATTGTTCCAATGTCTACTTGGTTAATTATTGAATATTTGGCGCGTAGTAATTAGTATACACCAAAAAACAAGAAGGCCTATGTAGACCGAAAATATCAAATTGCCAAATATCATTAAATATATGTTTTTTTTAATGTTCTACAAATGCTTATTCTTAAAATCTTATTCTTAAAATTGCAAATTTTTACAACACCTTACTCCTTCATTATTTGATTTGTTTTACTCCGCAGACAAAACTTGACTGCTAAATTTCAAATCGCAGTATTTATTAAATTTTATTGTTTAAAATAGTAAATTTCATTTGTTTCCCGAATCGAATACGTTACTTAATTATCAATCTGCAATTATTTTAGTTTGATTTGTGGTGATTTAAATATTATAATTTTTTTGTGTAATTATGATGATCTATTTAATTTCAATACAAACTATTACTAAGCAAATCCTTTTTTTAAATAAATATTTACATATGACCACTAAGTTATTAAAGCGTTTTAAATAGATTTTAAATTGGTTGATTGAGCTATTGGATATGGTATTTATCGTTATTTTGCAACTATTTCATTTGAATCTTTTAAGACATACTTTTGCTTCTAGAACTTTTTGTTGACGTCAATGGCGGAACCAGTACGCACTATAATTTATTTATTTTGATTAACAATTTAGCACCTATACTAATCCCGCTTGTAAATAATCGTCAGATATTTTAATTATCACTGTATTTATGCTCTTGTTCCTTACAAATGTTGATTAGAAAAAAAATTGCTATTGAAAAACAATAAGGATGGTTAAGATTTATAAATTTTAAACAAGTTTATGTCTTGTGTGTCAAAAACTGTACGTACATATCTGTTTGTTCTCAAGTTTTGAAATTATGTATTTTCTGAAGATTTGTTGTCGCACAGTTATTAAAAGTAGAATGTGTGAATCGTTGGACAACGTTGTAATATTAAGGGCGTGACATTGAATTTTGTCTCCAGCGAAGGTAATTTGTAAAATGTTATTATTATATTAACGTAATTATCAACTCTCTTATTCACAATTAGTTATTGGAGGTTTCTGAGTCCGTTTATAAAAAGTCTGTCTGTGAAAGTATAGATCACATTATGAATAAAACTTTTTACAGCTTGCTTCTAACAGCCTCATAAACCTACGATAATTCAATGAATAACAGTGTTATTAATGTACTAAAAGTATCTTTAATGCGACTGTTTAATACGTATTTATCAACGAAATATTTCGACCAAATGCAGTAGTTTAATATTAAATTTTGTGTACATAATGTAGTGAATATTAATATTTCCAAAAAAGTATAAGTATCCACTAAAAATACTAAATCGCTGATGACAAAACTAATGTTCATATTGATATCATTGATTTGATGTGCTTCCACACATGTACTGTAATGTTGTTATTTATATTGCACGAGTGTTGCTACTTGCTAGAGTATGGATTCGGCCACATGTAACTCCACGGCTGTCGTTCCGCGTACCCTGGAATTATATGGCGCGAGCAGCTTCTAACACCGGTCACTCACATTCGCACGAATACGCAAACCCGCAAGTGTAGGACCACATTTGCAAATGATTATGCAAAGTTTTCGCTGCATTCGTGGTTTTCCAAGCTGTGTCGGTTTTTTAACGGACTTCAAAGCGCGCGAACCCCGATCCTTCGCGTAGTCTCCCACATATTCGTGTGACCAGTTGCGCCCACGATTGCGAAGGTAACGGACGTTTCGCCATTTTCATAGATCGTGACGTCTAATGTGTAGCGTACCTTCATCATGGGTTGGAACAACACCAAGGTGATGGAGTTCATTGAACTCCTGCAAAATGAATCGACCATATGGGACCCTCAAAAGAAATCCCATGAAAATAGAATGGCTGTTAATGACGCCTGGGAAAGAATTAAAAACTCTTTTTCTCTTCAATGTTATAGTGACGAATTAAAAAAGAGGAGAAATTCGTGAGACATTCGTAAACAGGTGTAGGAGGAAGCGCAAACGGGTTCGCAAATTGAATACCGAACCCATTTGCACAGCCGCTAAGTTTGCGAATGAATGTTTGGCAACCGACAGCCCTTCACATGCGCGCGAACATTCGTGCAATGTACGAATGTTTGCGCGCCATAATGCTCGAATAATAACTGAAGCGCATTTGCATATTTCCCTTTCCGCCATCCGTAGGCGTTGCCTTAATTAATATTATACAAATGTTGCCAAAACAATTTGGACTACAATTACGTACAACAATCAGTCTGTCACATGTCACAATGTCCCACTGACAGCGCTTTTGTACTGAACTTCAATTTAAGGCGCACGTAAACGACACGTGCGCACAGATTTGGCGTTTGAGTTTTTAACATTAGTTTTATATATGAATCTATGTGAAATGAAAATTGAGATATATTGAAAACTTATGCAGAGGCAGCTTTCCTTGTAGTGCAAGGTGTGCGTTGCACATTTGCGCAGCAATGATAGGGGTCTTAAGGGGCTATTGCAACTGCTCGCCGACCGGTAGGTAAGCTCATGGGCTGAAATTATTACTAATACTGGCCCTAGCAAGAGCAGTGCTTTGCTGAATCTACCACCGAATTGAAATTGTGACCCACTGAGAAGATATAGCGAGAAACCCATTGTGTCGTGTCTATGGGCTAGTTCTTACGTCAAACTCCTCGTCCTAATCGACGAGTTCGATGAGGAGGCTTTCGATGAACCTTTTAACCTTACCTATTCCATTTTGACCGTGCGATTACTAGAAGGCTCTAGGGTAATTATGGTACACGGGTACTACATGAGCTAGAGACGCCTTTGAGCTTATGGGTAATGGTTTACTTCCTTTTATCTATCAGTTCTATTCTTTAAATATGTATGCGGTAAAATACGTCATTCCTTTGATTCAATGGTGACATTGAACTCAAAATTCGAGAAAGACAACGACTCAATCGTATATACTCGCCTTGTGACTCAGATGTATACGTGACGTTATCGCATACTTAAATTCATAATGGCAGGCTTAGCAAAAAATTGAAAAGGCGTATCAAAAATGTATTGGATATTACGAGTATATCTAGTTACTTCCAAAGTTGATGACCAATCGTAGATCACAGCTGTCCACTGTAGGCTTACCTATATAAAATCCGGCACTCCTATGAGTTGCCAAGCTTGGAATAATGCTTACCATAGCTGATCTGCGTTGGTACTGTATTACGCTTGCTGGGTCCTTGACACGCCTCGACTTTGATACGTTCGGGGCGATGTTTCAGTCACAAAATTGTGACAATTTTTTTTTTTTTTCGTGATTCCTATTGCATCGTGGTATACAATATAGGGTGCGCTGTCGACGCCGGAGTATTGTTGTGGCCTGGCTCTATTTGTCGTCGTTCTGACCTTTACAGTCGGACGACATTATTCGATATAGTATATTATAATGTGCAATGTGTTATGGTGAAAATGCGATCATTTCAAAGCAGTAATGAAAACAATTTTATATGATTCGAAACAAAACTACTACTGGTTTTACTGGTGGTAGGACGTCTTGTGAGTTCGCACCAGTAGGTACCACTACCCTGCCTATTTCTGCTGTGAAGCAGTAATGGCTTTCGGTTTAAAGGGCGGGGCAGCTGTTGTACTATACTGAGACCTTAGAACCCATGTCTCAAGATGGGTGGGTGCATTAACGTAGATGTCTATGGGCTCCGGTAACCACTTCACATCAGGCGGGCCGTGAGCTCGTTGACACATCACATCACATCTTGACGAATGATCAAAACGATAAAGAATATTACGCTTCGTGTGGTATTCGCCATAACACATATTTAATATTATAAATTAACTAAGTAAGTGTTTAAATATTTTGAAAATGTATCGCAGTGTTAAATAATAAGCGATTTAGCATTAAACAATTGTTTCTCGCTAGAAGATATTAAAACTTTGGAAAAATAAATGTAAAACGAAAGCTTTTATTTCATTTTAGACTTATATTGTTAGCGTAGCGCAAAATATTTCGTCTAATACCATTGAATAATAAGAGCGGCGTTTTTATTTTATTTTAAAGTAAATACCAGTCTCTATAGTTTTTTTCAGTATTAGGGCGAAAAATGTTTAAGTCACATCTACGTTATCCTATGAATTAAAGCATGCGTCCAGCTGATGTTGAGCTGTCGCAGCAGATCACGTATATCGGTAACGCCAATCTGCTCTGTGAATTCGAGGACACGTCGAACCTCATTTGAGGGAAAATATTTTCAACCTCAACTATCTGTTTTCTGTTCCAGATTAACCTCTATTTAGTAGTTTCGGAGATGTGCGCGAACATAAAGACTTACAAATATTATTACTTTTCTTCAACACACTAGACTCTAATGTTTTATTATTTGTATGCGATGTGATGCTTTTTTTCCTACCTACGAGGGGTTATTCAAGATTCACCCGGCTAGTAGGTGAGTTCACGGGGCTCAACCGGGAGTTTTTTTATTTTTTTATTGCTTAGGTGGATGGACGAGCTCACAGCCCACCTGGTGTTAAGTGGTTACTGGAGCCCATAGACATCTACAACGTAAATGCGCCACCCACCTCGAGATATAAGTTCTAAGATCTCAGTATAGTTACAACGGCTACCCCACCCTTCGAACCGAAACACATTACTGCTTCACGGCGGAAATAGGCGCAGGGGTGGTGGTACTTACCCGTGCGGACTCCCAAGAGGTCCTACCACCAGTGAGTGTTGCTAACACTGACCCTAGCAAGAGCAGTGCTGTCGCAGAATCTACCACCGGATCGGAAACGCGACCCACTGAGAAGATCTGGCGAGAAACTCAGTGAGCTGTGTCTATGGGTTAATTTACTCGTGGAGTCCTTCGTCGGAAGCGACGGGTTCCGTGAGGACGGTGACCAGCGATGTGATGTACCTCAATCTCTATGTCCAATAGTACAAGGAATTCTAGTTTAGGGTCAACCGAAATTGAAAGATTTGTCTTCAACTCTATATTTATTTGTTTTATGTATTTATTGATCACCTGGTCATTTCAATACGAGTAAACGTTGGTTTATTTATTAATAGAAAATAAAGAACAAAACAATGAAGACCGACCTCCTTTCTGTAGCACAAAATGGATCTTATAGTTTTAACAATAAGGGTGTACCTCAATAAAACCACCTTAATATTTGAACAATTTAATGAATAACCACATTGTTTTTTAATTGAAGCTAATTTTTACGTAACAGACTAATCATACTTAACTGTTCACTTTTTAAAACTAAATGGCACGACGGAAATTCGTGATTGATGCTTCTAAACTATATTGCATTAACTTCTTGCCCCCCACCATAAATGGCTATTTGTGTTGCTATATAACCTTCCCTTATGAGAAGTCATAATTGTCAGTAAATAATCATTATTTGGTTACAAAGTAACAGTGATTTGATTATTAAATGCTTATCAGAGTATTTTTAAGCAAGCGTGATATGAACAAATCAAAACGCGCCGTACCCGTGTTGGCTCGGTAATTTTAAAGATCGCTTTTAGAGATAAGACTGTGTTTTATACAGTTGTACCCCGATTGGTTTTATAATATGTATTTTATTTCTGTTTTGACGTGCAATAAAACTCTATTCTACGTTGAAAACATTTAAACTATTATTAACAATATTATCGAACCCAAGTGTAAATATGTGTCGTAATATCACTGATGGAAAATTGAAGACTGCATAATTTTAGTGCTTTTATACATCTATTTCAGAACGAGTCATCAGTTTAAGGAGACTAGTGTGCCGTATAAAATATGCTCTAAGCACATGAATTATATGTATTTGTTTTAAACTTATACAAACTTTATTGTTGACCCATGATAAAGATATTTCATGAATAGTAATTTTTTTGTAACAATAAACTGATCAGTCTTTCTAATAAATAATGTGTCTTGAAAGTTGGGATTGCTATTTATTAAATACGACAACATGTACATACTAAAAATACTTATTAAGAAAATGAGCAAATACGAATTTTAACTAAAACTAAATTGCATATGTCATAGTAATGAGTAAATATGCCTTATGCTACGTTTTGTGACTCAATAATTCGTTCATTAAAAACAAAAGTATGATTTATCTGAGTTGTAGGAACTTCATAAGTGCATCATAGATCAACCGAGGGCTGGCATCGCTATCCGCCGTGTATCTCACACCGCGCAGGGCTCCGTCTTCATTTCTCACAACACCATATTCTCCAACTATGAACCCATCGGAGGTCCTCTCTTCGACTCTATACTTTTTGAATTGTCTACCTTCTACGACATATCCTACTTTACAATTATCCTGTTTGCATTTTTCCGTCGTAGATTCTTGAACACCATGGCTACGGCCATTTGTAGCTATGCTTGTTTTTTCATCAATCTCATAATTTTTTTCTGGTTGTTGTCCATCGAATCTTTGCACATTCGATAAACTCAAGGAAGTTCCTACCGTACTCAGAAGCGTAGTGTTAATATCTGAGGAAACAAGTAAAGCGGATTGTGAAGGATGCTGCCATGTTGAAAAATTGGGAGGAACACTCGCACTTAAATGAAGTGATGCAGGTTGGCTGTAAAATTTAGCAGGTTCGCTGTAAATTTTAGAAGGTTCACTATAAATTTTAGCCGGCTCGCTGTATACCTTGGCCGGTTCACTGTAAATCTTGGCTGGTTCACTGTAAAACTTTGCAGGTTCACTGTAGATTTTAGCTGGCTCACTGTAAATTCTTGGCAGATTAAACGTTTGTTGTTCTCGGGCAACATCAAATCCGTTATTGTATTTTAAAGAATTTTCATAACTAGTCGCACCTTTTGGCGCATCGTGAACAATATTAAAACTAACTGTTGTTAAGCTTGCTGTGTTTTGTTTGACAGAATTACTCACACTCTGAAAATAATCAGACTCGGAGACGGTTTCGTCACGAGTAGGTTGTTGGTTTTGGTTGATTTCTACAGCAGACTGGATAGACGACTCTGCTATAGTGTCTTCAGTGTGATTATGATTCCTTTCATGAATTGTTGAATTATTTTCAATTACATGCGGCGAATTCAAAGAAAATAGTGAACTGAAAGTCATATTTCGAGAAAGTCTTTCATCGTTCACTTCTGATAAATCCGACCCCATTGTGTTATCGTTTTGTTCGGTGATACTAGGATATAATTCTTGGGTCGTATGAAAACTACTATTTGAATTTTGTTTATTAGTTTCAAAATTGTTCGCAACGTGAGATGTTGGTATTTTTCTGGCTAAAGGAATACCGTCAATGTTCTCTTCGTTTTCAAATGGTGTGTCGCTTAGTGCGGAATCCTGGTCTTTGTAAGGTTGACTTTTACTTAACAAGTCAAAGGGATGTACATTGTCTATCTTATGGTCTCGAGTTCCTTTTTTTGCGTTAAGTTGTTTGATAAATTCTATATTAGCACCTACCAACTGTGTTGGTAAACTGGATGATTCGATATCATCTGTTATACTCATTGTAGAAGCTAACTGTGATTCGTCAGATTCAGTCACCCCGTTGAAAAAATCTTGTTTGTTTGAATCATTGTCGTTCGGAATAGGCCTGTTTAACTTTTTTTGAGAACGTCCAATGGCGATTGATGATGTAATTCTAACAGATATAACTTTCTCATCTTGGATCTTAGTCGTATTTTCGTTGTTAGATGTTGCCAAATCATCTGTGTAGAACAGTCCGGAATTGTGATTTCGCTCTTCTTGAACTGTTATAGGGTGCGCTAAAACAGATGCGCACGTATCAATCTGAAAAAAGAAAAAAAAACAGATAAATACGCAAATATGTTTTCAAGAAAACATAGAAAGGCTTGGAGGAAGTTATAAGCTACGTGTAATGTTGAACATGTCACGGGACCGACGTCTAAACTACTTTACATCATGTCAATCGAGATATTATTATGTTGGTGAAATAACCAACAAGGGAATATAATTTATGAGTCCGGCTTATTCCGATTTTTCCCGACTTAGCTCAACTTTGAGAGATTTTATTGGGGGTAGAATTAAAACATTCGTTTTTCGTTTTCGGCATCTGCTGTCTTTTGATATTTTAATGATAATGGTTAAAGAAAACATAATCCTTTATGAAATATCTACTTCAACTAATTATAAGATCGTAGGGTCCATCCCCATTCCCAGTGATGGTCATGAGGCGACTTGTGTGGATTGAGGCTGCACTTCAAGGTACCATCACTCTAGCGCACTTGCACCAGAAGGAAGAGTCTCCCGGGCGTCTGCAGACCATCAGTCAGGATACAAATACTCCACGCGCCTACTAGGCGCGGAAAACTAGTACGTGGTAGTTCGAAAAAAAAAAGTCGAATCCCATATCGGGAAAACAAAATTTTATTGTGTTACGAACTTTTTTTTATTGCCCTTGCTCTGATTTTGTTTGTTTAATTTCTATATATGTTGATATTTAAAAGCACCAGTCTTGTTCACATGTCAGTCAAAGTTATGTTATTACTTACACATTCTAGTTCCTGTTCAATAAAACTTCCAGATATGGTCGACGTTCCGTAAATTTTGGCAAGACATTTAAATAAATTCCAACAAAATTATTTTGATGAAATGTCAGGTAATGTGTACTTAATAATTACATATCTGAGCATACAGGAAAGGATTTTCTAGTGACGTGTTCTCTGACGACTGTAACTTGTATTTTAACATGAACATGGCCTTGAGAAGTAATACTTCTACATATTGACTGCAAAAATTTTTAAGATAACATTTGTAAGATTGATTTATTCCTGCCCTACCTAGTATTTTGTTAGTCACATGTATGTATAAGTGTTTTGCTAATAGACAAAAACTAAACAAGATTTGTGGAATTCAGGACAAAAAAAATATTATCGCTATTAAAAATAATTGTCCTCAAGTAACCTTAACGAGGTATTAAGGTACATATTTATCAATTAAGTTTGATTAAATATTCACATAAAGTAGTTTCGCGGATTATGTATTAATAATTATTGATAGAAATTAATTAATCTGAAATGAGCTACTAAATTGCTTCAAAATTTTAAATAATTTTTACGTCTGTGCTAAAAAGCCACAGAAGTCGGCAAGAAGGCGGTATCAATAGATATGGGCCACAACTCTGCCTTAGCACCAAAGGGATCTAATGAATAAATAAATTTCAAGTGACTGTTCGAAAATCAAAAAAATAAGACAAAAATGAAATAAATAATCATTCTTATTTGTTTATCTGAGAATCATTCAACATTCATGTAGCGCGTGAGTTCATAATAATAATTCGTATGATTTATTATGTAGAGGTCACATTCATTTTTAGTTTAGATTATATTAGAAAGGCCGCTACGTTTCTTCACAATAGATTCTTGCTACTTCCGCCTAATCTTATCTACACATTAATTATGCAAAACGTAACAAGGAATCTTTAAAATAATAAAACCTTGTTTACAAAGAAAGAACAAAAGAAAATGATGACAAAAAATAATAACCCTGCATTTTTTTGGCGTATGGAATTAATAGGACATAATAATTGAAGTGAAACTTCTTTATCGGCGTTGGAAAAAAATTTACCGTCACATTTTTCGGTTACGCATCACATTTTTCCGTTACGCGCCATCTTTTTCTTGCCCCTACCACGGTTGGTTCAGACGAAGAGTACTTTCACTTTCTCCAACGGAGTAGGGATAGCATTAATGTTTCACTTCTTACGTGTGTACACTAGTACACGCACACATTTTTTATTATTTTTATTCCTTAATGTGTCGTGAAGAGTGTCATAATTATTATGTCCTATTAATTCCATACGAAATTCCACTTGAAATTTATTATTCAGTGTTTCTTGATAATAAAAAAAGAAGTTTTTTTTTATGATAGGTGACTTGTCGAAGAGATTAGTAATTCATTAAATCCCTTTGGTGCTAAGGCAAAGTTGTGAGCCCATATCTATTGATACCACCTTCTTGCCGACTACTCTGGCTTTTTACCACAGACGCAGCTATCCGCTATTAAATTTATTGAGAAATTTAGTACCTTATTTCAGATGTATTATTCGATGACCTAATCGCTAAATTTTGAAGACACAATTGTCCGTTAAGTGCATAATAACTATATAAAACATGCTTAAGATAGTCGTAATCTCAGAGTGGGCGCCACACACGTGCCCGCATCGTGGCGTGGTAGTGAAAAAAACTGAAGGTCGCTAACTTATCAGGGCCGCAACCTCCAATGTGGTGCAAAGCACCGAGACAAACATTTTATAACCAATTTAATACATTAAATCCAGTTCAAAAACTTGTCTCGTTAACATTTAATACTATATCGAAGCTTCCTACTCTCTAGGCATTTTTGTCACTCACATAAATATTGTAACACATTTTATGGGTTTTAATTTTTGTTTTAAAATTGCTCGGAGGGTAGATGAAACGAGTCTTCTCGTGAGATCTTCAGTTTTATTTATTTATTTATTTAGACACACCAACAGCAATACACACAAAACATTTAAGCTTAAAATTAATAAGTATAAAATTAAATACTGCTATGATGTTACTGGTGGTAGGACCTTGTGAGTCCGCACGGGTAGGTACCACCGCCCTGCCTATTTCTGCCGTGAAGCAGTAATGCGTTTCGGTTTGAAGGGTGGGGTAGCCGTTGTAACTATACTGAGACCTTAGAACTTATATCTCAAGGTGGGTGGCGCATTTACGTTGTAGATGTCTATGGGCTTCAGTAACCACTTAACACCAGGTGGGCTGTGAGCTCGTCCACCCATCTAAGCAATAAAAAATAAAAAAAAAGAATGCGTTGTAACTCTTTTTTGTTTGTTCTATATTTATTTTTTTAAAGTTTCACTGAAAGATTCTCGTTGTTGTTATATTATGTGCATAGCGAGAAATTTAATAATAGTTATTTTCGAACAAGTTAGATTTTAGTGAAGGCCACGCACTCCGCTAACAATAGTCGAGCGTTCAAACCACAATTAAATTGTTGCACATAACAGCTGCATAACGAAAGTTGACTATTCGAATTGTGATTGATGTACGTATTATTATTATGTTAGTATCTTAATAAAAAATAATGCAGTGTGACTAATAATAAGATATACATAGCATTTTTTTAAAACAAGCTACGTCTACTATATAAGTATACTTTAACCTAAAATAATAAACTTTGCTAATTCACCTACACGGTTACATATAAAAAAATAATAATAATAATGAAATCTAAATAAAAGATTGTAAAAAAACGCCTACCGTGTATTTTCAATTAAGCTCATATTTGAAATAGAGAGGAAATGAAAAAAAATTTAACTTAAAATTTTTAAGACGCCTTTTAGTATGATCTGTATCTTTACCTTCGATCATCATTGATCGAAGATCTTTACATATACTCTGTCAAGAAAGTACCAGGAAAATATCAATAATACACAATATGACCAACCAAATTCAACCAATTTTTTTTGTCATCTTCAAAGTATACTTCTTCAGAAACGATACAATTATGCCAAGGAATAATTCAATCAACAAAATATTTTTTAAGCGCTTTTACCGGAATTGAGTTGAGTTCTTGACGCGAATTACTATTCATGTATTCTACTATTTTTTTTATGGCTTAGATGCGTGGACGAGCTCACAGCTCAGATTCGAGGCCCAGGTTGTCGTGTAGGTCAACGTTCCTCACGAACCACGGAGCTCCGACGGCTAACCTACAAAAGCGGGACTGTAGGGATTGGAGGGTGTCTATGTGTGTGCGGGCCGCGTGAGCGAACACCACACTCGCGTAAGTCATGACGGGCCTTATGCAAGTTTTGTAAAGTGTCACCTTGTTCCGAAGGGACATTTTACTTCGCTTACAGATCATAGGATAAACGCGGCGCGGTCACGGACTGATTTAATGTGCGGTTGGAATGTCATCGATGCATCAGGGTGACACCCAGGTACTTGACCTTCCTGGCCCAGGGTATGAGTTGGCCGAAGAGGGTGATCGGGGGTGTGAGATTCCTCCTCCTAATCCAGGAAGAAATCCGTGTGGCATATCCCCCTTTGAAATAGCACCGCAGTACTTTTCGCTGGGTTGATGTCTATGCACCATTTTCGGAACCACTGTCCTAGGGCTACGGTTGCGCTCTGAAGTTTCCTTGCGATTAAGAACTTGTTTCTACTCGAATAGTAAACAGTCATGTCGTCGGCGAATAAAGATAATTGGGTCGGCGGCGACCGGGGTATATCTTCACGAATAAAATAAATAGGAGGGGCGAGAGGACAGAGCCTTGCGGGACTCCAGCCGTGAGAGGTCGCGGGGAGGAGCGGTTCCTTCAACTCGATATGGAAAAGAGCGGTTCGACAAGAAGCCCCGTATGATGAGCACGAGACTATCCGGCACGCCCATGTTGAAAAGTTTGAAAATCAAACCGTTGTGCCAGACTTTATCGAACGCTTTTGCGACGTCGAAGAAGAGAGCTCCCGTGTGGAGTGGTTTTGGTCGGTTAAGCCGTACAAGAATGTGCTCCATGAGGCGGTGAACCTATTGTACGCAACGTCTTATCCTTTAGGCCACGACGACTTCAAAATTTAAAATTTACAAAACAAAACCTATTTAATATTTACAGTAGAAATAATAATATCGATGAGGAGTTCCAGTTCTTTGAGCGAGTGGCGTGCAAATACATAACATAAATAATTTAGTTGATTCAATAGCGGACTAACCGCTATTTTCCGGTGTAACTTCCACATTTCCAAATCAAGCGCATGGTCTTGAATTTTCGAGTATTTTTTCTT